ATGATCAGCTGCAGATGGGCGTCCAACGATCTGAACGCTCTTCGCCTGGGTGCTGTAGCAAGCAAAGCAGAGTGGAACTGCGAAAGCGGTCAGACCAGAGGTTTCCTCCCAGCTGGGTGGTCTCACATTCAGGCCATTTATCGTTGATATATGTTGATATTATATATGAATGACGGCTGTTATTTGGTTAAGTGAAGAGTACTATTGGGGCGTACCCCGGTTGCCAATAATACAATATCTAGTTTGCAAAACGAGGAAGGAACACCCTGAGAACAAGGTAGCCAAAGCGAGGTCCGTGAAAGAAAACCGAGGTAGAAACACCCCTTTAATTACGCGACGAACCAAATATTGTTCGGAGCACATGTATGTATATATATATATACATTGGGTAGAACATGGCAATTTTTGTTGGAGTAGAGGCCGCAAACAGAGATCTGGTGGTGGTGTTAAATTTACATCACTGGGATAAGTAGCTTTAACTAGTTGTAAGTTGTAGGGTTACTTAAAGTCCTGAGCCAGCAATTTCTTTACGGTGTCCAAGAGGTATAAGGAAAGGTGAAAGGAGTGTTCCACGTGGATCCATGTCGAGGATCAAATCAACCAAAAATCACACGGCCGCTGATGGAATAGTCCCTCCCCTTTGATATGTAATTTCTCCTTGGCGAAAAATCAATAGATCCGATAAAAAACACCATGGCGACTGGTGGTTTTGAATATTAGGAGGGGATTCCTGAAGTGTGAGCACCGTGCAATGACATGCACTGGAAGACCGATGCACCGTTCCACTTTGGATTTGTCCTATGAATAGCTGCAGTCACTCGTGACATAAGTTCCAACTGCACAGACCCTGAATTTGGCGAAGAGGTACTTACAATGTGGAACGTGGGAGGTTGGATCTGGGACAGATTTCAGGAAAGAGTTTGGGTTGGAGACCAAGTATAGTAATACCCAAAAGAATAAGTGATCACTAGGGATTTGCTTTTCCTTTTTCGACTTTTTGGGGACCCCTACTGGTAGTAGACTTCTCATGGTGGAATAGTTGCTCCGTTTGGGTTTGTACCGTACCTGGATGGGCCTGCACCCCAAACCGTCCAATGGGACTGGAACGACTCGTATCTAATCGTGTCTAGCTCAAGAATCCCCATAAAGCTTGCGATTTCACTTGACTCCTTTCAATCAAACAGTTTCGACAGGAGGCCTGAACTTGACTTAAATGTCACCACCCTGGCATGCTAGCTTAGTTTAGTATTGAATCTGTTCATTTTTTGGGCTCACATGGTGACTAACATGGGTGAGTATTTCTCGTTTGAGGAAGCGGTGGCAGGTACATAAGTGAGCTGGAGACGGGACAACGTTTCTCACTCCCGCCCGAGAAACCGGAGGAGACGGGTCATCGCACTGTGGCGTCACAGATGTGTCGCTAGTGTGCAAAATGATGGCAATAGAATAATGGGGGTTTGATGACAAACCACAAATAATCAAGAAATTTGGTGAAACAACTTTTTCCGCAAAACTCATTTGTAGCCAACCTGGTGCTACTCGTGGTGTCTAACCCACCACTTTCTCAGGAGTTCACCTACCCCTATGCCTCACCCTTGGATGAGCTGCGTGCAGCGGACAAGGTCCGGTGTCAACCGCACAAGCCACGCTGTTGGCATTTTTGTATACCTTGACTCGCCTTGCTTGGGAACATTATGGTTGAATTTAGTCCGCCAGTGCATTTAGCGTTCTCAGGGCAGTCAATTGCAGGGTGCAATGTAAGTGCGGTGTATCTAATTCCTTCCTTCCTAAATGGGTGTGTTTAAAAATGGGGGGAAACCCGCAAACATGTCGAGTTCAAGCCAGGACATGATGATAAGCCATAAAATTTGACGGTACCCTATTTCAGACAAGCCAAATTCCAGAGGTAGATCTTTGTCCCAGTCTTGAAAGTTGACAGAGCTAATTGCTGGCCATGTGGGTGTGTCTGAAAATTGGGGTATATCCCAAAAAATGGCATTTTAATAGGGAAAATGATGAACCATGGAATTTTGGGGTACCTGATTCTCAGACAGACCCATAATGGGCGGGTGTTTTGGATATGTTGAATCTTGTGCATTCCGAAGATCACCTGCTCATCTTCCATCCCTTTGAGAAGTTGATTCCATCCAAGCCTAGTACTGGAGCTGTGCCAGGCATCTTCTTTCCCTTTTGTCTTTTCTGTTTCATGATGAATACTGTCACGTGGAGTGAAATCTACAGCAACTTTTTCATTGGATTGAAGATGCAAAGATATGGGGATAAATCATAAATCAGCACCGATTATATATATAATATAATCACATTATTATACATTCCATTTTTGGCTTGGGTGAACATCCAGAAATCCCAGCTGTTTCGGTGTTCACCTGGGGTACGGGTTGGGCCCACCAGGTGGAAGAGGTTGAGGATCCGCCAAAGGTGCGGGGCCTGGTGACCAGGTGGACCTGGTGGACCTGGAGCTGGGGTTACATACACCTCCCATGTGAGACTGTTGTTGGGATGCAGAAGCCCTACCAAAGGCCACAGAAAAGAACCATCTGGCTGGGGTGTGGGGGGTGTGGTGATCGCTGCTCATACATATATACATATATATATATATATGTACAATATATATATGTACAATATATATATATGTACAATATATATATACAATATATTTATATATATACAATATATATATGTATATTTATATACAATATATATATACAATATATATATACAATATATATACACAATATATATATAATATATATAATATATATATAATATATATATACAATATATATATACAATATATATATACAATATATATATATATATATATACAATATATATATACAATATATTTACATAATATAGATATACGATATATAAATACAATATATATATATATACAATATATAAATACAATATATATATGCAATATATATATATATATATATACAATATATATATACAATATATATATACAATATATATATAGACAATATATATATACAATATATATATACAATATATATATATACAATTATATATATATATACAATATATATATACAATATATATATACAATATATATATATACAATATATATATACACAATATATATATATACAATATATATATATACAATATATATATACAATATATATATACAATATATATATACAATATATATATACAATATATATATACAATATATATATACAATATATATATATATACAATATATAAATACAATATATATATATATACACAATATATATACAATATATATATACAATATATATATATATATATACAATATATATATATATATATACAATATATATATACAATATATATATATATACAATATACATATATATACAATATATATACAATATATATACAATGTATATATATATATATACAATATATATATATACACAATATATATACTATATATATACAATATATATATACAATACATATATGTACATACATACATACATACGTACGTACGTACATGTACGTGTACATCTACATGTACATGTACATACTGTACATACATGCATGCATACATACATACATACATACATACATACAGACAGATAAACATACATACATCCATACATCCCTTCATATGTACATACATATCAATGTGTTCTGGAATGCTGATTTGCGGTGCATTCAACAGAAGTCAATCATGGAAGGCACCATGGAAGCGACCTTGAATTAGAACCTCACCAGAAATTTAAGGGTTGGAAAGGGGAATCATCTGAAGAGAGGGCTTCACTTCCAGTTTGGGAATTATCATCCAGTAAATTCAGATAGACCGTGCCATGAGTTGGGGCTTGGAACATGAGTTTCCACTAACAACTGATCATTTTCAGGGTGGATGTCTACGTTAATTTACCAAAGAGTATCATCCAACATGGGATTTGATTTCTCCGGTCCACATACCCTGCAGTAGACTTCGTCAGGCCGTCATTGAGGAAGAGAAGCCCCGCCAGAGAAGGCAGAAGAAGGCTCGCTGATGCACCAAGCTTCTCTGGCATGGGCTGCATAGGTGTATCTTGATGGCCACATATCAACTTCATCTATTTCGACTCCTTGGGTTGTGTATTCTAGTTGGGTTATTTCACAACCAACCAAATCAACTGTAGTGGACACTGGAATTAGGCTGGGGCGCTTTCCTCAAGCTTCAGTCTGATGTTTCTGCGGTTTTTTTTCTCGACAATCCAGGCCTAAAAGAGGCCACTTCCAGCAACAGCATGGAACAACTGGCCGAAATGATCCGAATTCGCCACAGTGGCTTGAAGGCTTGCCACGTCAAGTAGGCCCATCTTGAGATAGGTACTTGTACTGAAACTATAGTCCCCAAGTTTCAGCAGCATCCAATCATAGGAAGCTGTCACAACCTACTGCCAGACGAGGCAGATCTCTGAGCTAAAACATCATCTATCTCCAATTCTCTCCGAATTGTTTGGCAATCTTTGAACAATACAGACACATTTCGGTTTTTTTCCTCACATTTTCATCATGGCGGGACTCCCCCTGACCGTTCCACTTCCGGCCCTACCCAGCCCTACCCAGCCCTACCCAGCCCTACCCAGCTGCACCGCCGCAGGTGAATTGGCCACCTCTGACGTCAGCCATGGAGGCTTGGAACAGTTGCATTTCTCAAACCCTGGCAGAAATATTGAATTTGGACATAGAGTGGAAAAACCAAGCACAAAACATAATTTTGATGCGCACATGCAAACAAGATCAAATTGGATGGCAAATTCTGTGAAGTTTGAACGATGTTTTGAATCCATCAACCATCCAGCATTTCTTCCTTCAACCGGAACCGCCTGCCGCCAGGGTGTGGAAATCGTGCTGCTAGCCGGAGATCCTTTGGAGGCATCTTGGTCGCCCTGGAAAAACCCTTCGCACAAGTCTCAAATACGATGATGCCACCCTCGCTCACACGTATCATATCCATGATCATGTGCCTCTCTCCCTCTCTCTTTCTCTCTCATCTCTCTCTCTCTCTATATGTATATATATAATATACACACACACATAGCTCTGCAAGTCTAGTTTCATGCGGTATGTCAAGGCTGATGAACATGTCCGGAGCAATGCGCACGTCAATGCGCTTAGAAGCCTTGCTGTGGCTCCGTCTCACTTCAATATGTTCCTCGTCTTGGCAGACACAGCGACTAAAGCTCCTCAACTCTGCAGGTGTGTCATGGAGATTAGATGAGATTAGCATTTTTTTCTTTGTAGAATTCGGGTTCAACATACTTCCGTATTGGCATCTATTCGTGTTCATGATGTTCCCTTTTTTTGATGGGTTCCCAAGTACGGCATGTGAATTCTATATTTTCGATACAGTTTGAAAAGTTGGATGAGGCTTATGTATCTCCAGTTTTAGCTATATAGCGGCATATATACAGTATAAATATAAATATAAATATATATATGCAATTATATGTATATCAATTTACAATGCACAGATCGAGGATTCCATACGATTTTATGATTATACCATACACGGATCACGGAAATAGGATAGCCTCGACACGCATACACAAAGGTGCATACGCGTGTTTTTTACAAGACAAACACTGACAGAGAGACAAACACATATGTATATATATATATATACACATATATATTTATATACATATACATATATACATATACATATACCTACAAATACATCACCTGCACATGCATTACATGTATCTCCACTTAAGTACAGTCTGATCTAGCAGTTGGTTGGGGCCATTCCAGCGACTGCAGGTCTTGAAGAAGCCCAAATATCGTGGTCTTTTTCATCGAGCCTTCATAGGCGCACCAGAAGTATTTTAACTTGGTCAAGATTTGTTGGTTTTGTCCAATGGTCCAATGGGGTGCCATATGTTTTAGGGCTTCTCTCTCACAGTTCTGCACATATGCTCCAGGAGAATCAGTTTTTGGCAAGTTGTAACTTTGGAAACTGGGGATTCCTAGCTTATTATTCCTGAGAACCTGGAAGCTGGTAAGGACAGTATTTCCCGCACGAGAGTATTTTATTGTATTCTTGCCTTGTTCTTGGTGAGTATGACTTCAAGGATCTCTGGGCATTTCTATTCTCCCAATGGTGCCGGGAGTTTCGACGCCGTGCCATGCAGTACGACAGGTGCTATGGGCTGCATGCCCGTCTTTCAGGAGCCCAGTTGGTGAGGGGTGCCCCAGAAACTCGACAGTTTTCGTGGTCTGTCTGAAAAAGTCCGATGCCTCTCAAAATGGCAATTTTAGCAGGGACAATTTAGGGGTTAGCCTATTTTCAGACAGACCCATAATATGAACAGTATATTTTTGTATGAACGAGATGGTTTTGGGGTCTTGTTTGAAGTGGGGATACAATCTGACAGCCACCTTTGCCCTTCCGCAATCCAAGATTGCAATGGAAGATCCGCCACTATCTATTGATAGATGAATATAGATAATTTTCCATGTTTTTCCATTTTCTTAACAAATATTATTTCTCCACCCCAACTTTTTGGGGATAGAATCCGAGAGCCACCTAAGATAATCTCTTGATCCTGGGGATGTCAGCATCAATTAAGATATATTGCACCAATGACCAATGCTGGTCTAATCTACTCGCAGCCTGAATTCTTGATCAAGGGGAGCCCAAACTACCCAAGATACTGTATAGAGGCATATAGTTTCTTAAGTATTTTTTTTGGACAAGGACCGCGAGATCCCGTCATTTGATGCTTTATTTGAAACTGATTTTTAGGTAGTTTCATCTGTAAGATGCGTACGTAGAAGTGCTGTAAGTACGTGTTTCAACTTCAAGAGGCATTCATAGGAGTATTGTCAATCGTTGTTATTGTTCCAAACATTCCTAGAGCACTGACGACAGTGACTTGGACAACGTTCTCCACAACCTTTGTTACCCGCTTCTTTAAATGTTCCATCTTTCAAAGCAGTCTGGCATTGCGGACAACGGTTGAAATTTGTGTCGGAGACTTAGATATAGACGCCCCTTTGTATTCTTCGGACTTGTGGGAGAAAGATTCTGATCAGTTCCACTCTAATCCTTGGCCCTCCATCAGTTTTCTGATTTTGGCCCAAACCACGGCAGCCAAAGCCAATCTGATCCAATCTGTCCTGGGGTCGGACCATCTCCCACATCGAAGGATTCGAATGCCAGGAGTTTGATCTGAAGGGCGGTGCCGAGCAAAAGGGAGACTTCGGAGCTAAGAGAGAGGTGCGGATGACCCTGGAAATTGGGGACTTACATGTGCCGAAGTTGGGGAAGATCCAATTTTGTGGCTGATTAAGATCCAATCATGGGATGCTTGATATTAGTTGACATGTATATAAGATTATAAGTAACTAATGATTGCATAAGGGCCGCAACCTACACATCAGATCACATCAGAGCGGTTGCCATTAGTGGACCATCGATCCAAACGACTCAACATATCTATATAAGCAATTGTAGAAGTAATCTACAAAACAATAGCTATACATCACATATGATTAGTATATATTAGTATACATGTGTACATGAGTATATATGTATACAAAATATATGTACGTACTATACTTACACATATATATATATATATATTAAATTATTAAATGATTTTAATACAGATTCATTTGACCTCCCTGACCTTTATCACATAAATCATCCGGCGGCGCCAGGAGTCCGTCTTTGCCAGCATCATGGTTGGTGCCCGAGTCTGTGATCCGACCCTGTTGGGATCTATGGATCTCAGGATGATCTACGGATCTGGGTAAATTTCATCACGACCTCACTGCGACCGAAACCTGGGAATGATGGTTAGTAGGGGTGACTATCCCCAAATGACCTTATTTCACCTTATTTCAGGTTAGTGAATTATTATAATTTACCAAGATGGATGTAATTGCTGGATGGTGAAAACTAGTGAAAACCACGTTTCAGGCAGAGGGTGGCGAAGTCATCTTTGAAACTCTGAAGTACCAGGCTTTGTTTCTGGGGGTTGGGCATTGGTCTTTGGAACCGATACCTTCCGGTAATTTCTCACATGGTAATGGGAATCCACATTTTCCATGGCCATTCAAGTAGGAAACTCACCTATAGTATAATTTTGGTGAGTTTCCACTACTATGTTTGATTGCCATTTTGGGTATTTCATGGGATCATATGGGATCTGAAACTTTCATGTGTCTGGATTTCACCCTGCTGGAACGCAGTCATTTTCGTCATTTTTCCAGTCGATTGGGGTGCTGAGCTTCACCATGCTTCACCATCACCGGTGACAATGCAGCAGGTCACACCATTGGCCCCTATTGATCCAGGATTTTGTCATGATCTCTCTGCAAAACACGCGTAAGGATTCTTAACTACGGTTCTCCAAACGTATCCCAGTACTGCGAACCGTCAAAAGGGAAAACTGAGGTAGGAAGCGATTTTGCTCAGGACATGTGATTATTATGATTATTATGATTATTACAGTATGATTATTATGATTATTCTAGATTATTCTATAAATCTTTCTTGATTCGGTGCTTTCTCCAGTGTTTTCCTTTTTTTTGGTTCAGCGGTTGGGGGATGGGCTCAACCTCCAGGCACACTTCGAAGGGATGACGCGCTTGGGCTTTCGACATCGCGTGGCGCAGGCCGCGCACTTGGCAGGTTGGAGACTCCAAGATGAACGAAGGTGCGCCAAGTGGCAGGATGTGGCAGGAGTAGCACGGTTTCACATGCTTGATTTCAGGCTTCTGAAAGATTATGTATTTATAAATGTATAATTAAGTATGCATGATATATGTATATATATATACATGTATGTGCAATATAGCCACACACACAGACATACAGACATACAGACATACAGACAGACAGACAGACATGCATGCATACATACATACATACATACATACATACATGATGTTCGGTACCAGCTGGGCCCTGCACCCAGCTAGAACTACTATCAAGCCTGTCGTGATTTCACTCCATTGAACCGTTGTTTAAGCGCTCCTTCTGACTCGTTTGTAAATATGGGTAGGGTCATCGCTGGAGGAAATCCATTGGTAAATCCATTGGTGAATGGAAATCCATTGGTAAATTGTGTACTATGTACAGTACAGAAAGTACTATCTTTTCCACCAACCAATGTAGGGAATACAAAGATAATGATTTATATCGCCACTATTTCATGTGAGCGTGAAAACCCATGGCACATTTGGCTTCAACCTTGTTGTGTGGATTTATATTCCCTTATTTCTGGCATACGCTTGTACTCTACGGCAACTAGTTCTTGTTCGTATACCTGTAGGCTATACCAGAGCATGGCGGATCTAATGTAAATCTTTGGGTGGTGTTTTAGACATGGGCTTACATGTGTGTATATATATATGATATATATATATATATGTATGTATGTATATATGTATATATGTATATATATATGTAAATATGTATACATGTATATATGTATACATGTATACATGCATATATGTATACATGTATATATGTATATCTGTATATATGTATATCTGTATACATGTACATATGTGTATATATGTATATATGTATATGTGTATATGTGTATATATGTGTATATATGTATATATGTGTATATGTATGTATATATATATTTATATGTATATATGTTTATATGTAGATATGTATACATGTATGTATATTTTATATATACATATATGTAACATGTATATGTATATATATATATATATGTTGCTCACATGTTTTCGATTGAGCTGAAGGGAGTTCTATTTTCAGACTTAACATGGGTTTCTTGTCTCCATAATTTTTTTGCATAGAATAAATTGGGGATGCTGATGCTGGGAATGATCTTCATTGGTTTGGAAAGGCGGGACTCATACAGTGCTTTTTGTTCCTAGGGTGGCTGATAAATGGAATCTGATCCATCAAAACCGACACAACACGAAAGAATTTAGTAGTGGATACTTGTAAGAGTTGTATCTGTAAAAATTGTATACAAACAGATAGCTTTGATCGTATGGCTGGTGCCAACGAACCAAAGGATCCAAGCAAGCAATGAGTGAACTTGCTAAAACCCGTTCATTGCTTGCTTTACTGTGCCAATCAAGAAGGCATCTCTTTGTAGGGAGAACTTGTCCTTTCGCATGGCTCACTGCATCGGGAGAATTTTTGAAGGTACTGTACACTGCAAGATATGAAGTGACTTCAGCTTGAGAGGCTAGGAAACTTAGATTCTAAGATGCTGAAGCACTCACAGATCTTTGAGAGTTCCGGAAGTTTCAGGCAAATTTACTGTGGAGATATGTCAACTCGATGCTTTGAAGCAGAGACAGGAATCCAGGCCGCTATGAATGGCCAATAGCAGGATTTTGTGCCCAAAAAATGCTGGATGAGATAGATATGTATACATACACATAGATACACACAACAAGAAACGCAATGTAACAGGTAGATGTATAGTATACAATATGCATATATATATATATACAAGATTATACATACACATTCCCATTACATATTATATATGTATACAAATCAAAGGCCCACGAGTTTCGCTGGGCCCATGCCGCTGCCATGGAAGCATGCCGGCGCCAAAAGCTACGAGATCCCAAGGATCCAGGGCTACGAGAATCGCGCGATCACCATCCGTGGCTTGGTCCAAGGCGTGGCTTGGGATTTTAAGCACCAAGAAATGGCGGATTTAAACACAAAAAAGTGAGATTTCACCACAATAAATGCTGATATACCCATGAAACATTGGGATTGATCCATGAAAAATTGGGATATTTGGTAAAAGCCAATGCCATGAACGATAGCTCATGTATCCAAGGACTCGCAGTACAACATGTGGGTTGCAAGGTTGGAGATTGGTTGGCCAGCTAATTAGGCCACGCGCCCATGAGTTTGGTGTGAGTTTGGTGTGTCCGTCTCGCTGATTCACTCTTGATAGTTTTTTCGGGTTCACAACCAGAAACAGTGTATTCTGATGCAGGGTGGTTGGTGAATTTTGAACCCATCACCGATGGACGTCAAGGGTTGCTCTCAAAATATCTCAAAATATCAGTCACCCCGTGGGTTCCCCAAGAACTTTATATAAAGACTTTAAAGGTCACGAACAACACTATGATGGCAGGCATTGATCAACATCTTTGGTTTTTTCGTGTCTGGAAAGTTGGTCAAGATCCATGGACCACCAAGGCCAGCTCAATGACTTATCGCTTTATTTGCAGAGGCTGTGCAAGGCCCAGTTCGGGGGAGTTTGCACGACATGTTTTTTGATCCCCGAAATGGGAATCCCGCGCCCAAACCTGTGCCACTCGAGACACCTTGTCTTGGGGTCGTTGTTGATTGTTAGGACAGGGCTCAGATGATACATATACCCTGGCACTTCAAAGCTTTTGTTTTTCCTCTTGAGGAGGAGTCAATTTGTGTTGTTCATCCGTGGAACCAAAGGATTAAATACTGTATGATAAAACCCCAAGGTTGCTCTAATCTGTTGTATACTGTATAGGTTGTAGGACGTTATAGATATTATAGGATATTATAGGTACATTGCAGCCACAGTTTGTGGAGCATTTCCCCCACCCCCCCGGGCATCTGGAGGCGGGGCTACTGAAATTCACCAGCGATTGGTCTAAGACCAAAGGGCTTTTGGGGCACCGAGTTGCATGGCTCGGGGCCTCAGCGTTCGAGCTGAGCTAAGTCGAAAAGAATTGGTTGATGCTTAAAAGGGATGTCCTAGACAGGGGATTGGACATGGCTATGGGTGGAAATTTGGAGCCTGGAACAGATTCTTGTGATTTTGATATATTTTGAGTATTTAAACCATATCAAAACATCAAGATTTTACTATATATCATTATATATCCATTTGACCCATCCAACTCCCCTAGAATTCAGCCTTGCCCATTGAGCATTTGCCATTGATCCAGCCTTCCTCCGGGCAAGGTCTTTGCTCAACATGTACATCATCAGTGCAGAGGATGCTCGGCATCCGGGAGACGCCAAGGTAAATGGGCTCATGATCCACAATGACTTGACTAGTTTAAATATGTTTAAATGGCAGATCCCAATTGATCCCAAAGAGATAATTAATTAGGTTCCAACTGAAGCAATCCTAGCTGCATGCTGAAGTCCTGGGTTTCGAGACCGAGTCAGGTGAAGAGATAGATCATCGCACGGTAAAGTGACTAATGAATGGTTGGACATAGTTTGCTCAGAGTATCCGAAAATTGCTTTTTATCGGAAGACTATATTCGATAAACCATGGTATTGTGGATACCGAAGGCACTTCATTTTCAGACAAGGCCATACTGTTTGGTGAATCTATGGTTGAATTTTAGAGAGAATGCAATAGAAGAATAGACAATATATTAATATGTGTATATATAAATATATATTATATATGCATATCCAGTTGAAGATCAAGTTTTTTTTTCAGGTATCCAAGATTAACCATCATGAAATGATGGTTTGCCATGGATTGTTGGGATCTCAGATTCCAAGATCAGCTTATTTTCCCGCGACTTGAGGGACGGTCATCTCCAGGTTTTCATAGGGGACGTGTGTCTGAGATGACTGATGGCTCGCATGGACAAATAGATCAATCAGATCTCCAGATCGTAGCTTTCTGATTCCCAGCTTTCGTGTTGCCCATTTGGCGCCCAGAAAACACCAGATATGGAAGGTTATGTTATGGTTGGTACATATCCAACAGTTGGTTTTTTATAATCCCCAGGTGATCACAAAAGTGATACCTCATTCTGATCCAGACAGACAACCTGACGAAGAGAGACTTGGCTTCCGATCATCGATTCGCCTGAGATGATCCACTGGCAAAACCTGCGGTGAAGGGTAGACAGTGTGCAGCAAATCTGGGATTGTGGATTTTTTCAATAGATGGTCGTATGCAGTGTAATATGCAGGCGCATGAGTAGTAGTGGTTGATGTGAACATGTCCGGGTATACCAGAATCAGTTACAATGACAAGTTACAAGTAGTTTTTATTGAGGGCCAGTCCCGGGGTTTGAAGACAAGCCTTGAGAAATGTTTGTGTCATTAGTGATAGAGCTCACTAAGCAGGAACAAGGCGAACAAGGCATGCCCAGTGCACAAGTTTCCTGCGATAGATGGAGGCTGCCATATTGGCTTAGTTCTGTCACTTTTGGGGACATACCAAATTGGATCTTGCAATAGGAACTTCAATAACAGAACTTTTGATTCGTGGTCCCAAACTCAATGAATCGACAACCTGACAGGAAAACCATGGAAAACCAGAACGCCCTATATTTACAGTGCGTGGAAAATTGTTTCCTGTAAATGTGACAACCTATTCATCAGCCATCCCCAGCATTTTCCAAGGACAGGTCAAGTCTGGTACAGCTGGGTGGAATTTTTGAATGCTGGTAGGCCACAGATCCTTGGGTGCAGAAAGCCGCACTTTCTTTTGGGGGTGGGATAGCCGGATAGCCGTGGGTTGAGGCACCAAAATGGGCTATGAAATGAATCGGTTCCCATCCATGTTCGTGAGTTTTTTCAGGGGCTGTGAAAGCGCCAGCCCTTTTGAGCATCGCATATAGGTGGGGTATGGTGGGGTCCCAGCACTAGAGCTGCAGGCAAAAATGCTCAGTTTCGGCTTGGAAATCTCTGAGGGTTTGGCAGATTCTCCAGATTCATGTGGTGTTGGATCAATTTCTGAGGGACCACATCAGTAAGGAAGTAGTTGTCATTGGAACATTTGGAACTTGTGACCCCACTGAAAAATGCTGGCCTGGTCATTGGATGTTATCTTATCGGCTTTCATGCTTTCGAATTGTGCTTTGAACATGGGAATATGATCCAAACATATCCAAACTGTATTTTGTAAACTTTAGGGAGGGTTGGCTCGCCACCAGTAAGCGACGTGCTGTGTTCCTGTGTTCCTTAAATCTGGATCGACATGATCGACCCTTTTTAGGAGAAGACTTAGTCGACTTTGCATCATTTTGCATCCTCGAATTTAATGAATTTCAGGAGCTCTGTCGCTGAGGAAACCGAAGGTTTTTCTGAGCCACTGGCCCCTTGGATGGATAGATCTTGGCAGATGGTTGGAGGACACATTGTTTTGGAGAACGTTGCCTATTCACGCATTACAGAGATAGTTTACATGTAGGCACGGTGTCATTGTGGAGACCAGCAAGCATTTCAGAGTTCGTAGGTGTCGTTCTCACCAATTGTCGGTTTTTTGCTGTGTTCTATCTTGGAACTGAGACGCCGTATTCTCATGTATTCTCATTGTGTATTCTCATTGTGTATCCCCAATGTGCATACCTTAGCATGTCTTTCTACCATGTTTTTGGGCCGTCTCTTTAGAAGCTGTTTTGCATCCAAACCTGGGGACAATAATTACATCATATTACCAAACTTAAGGGCAAAAATTACTCAAACTTAGACAAAATAGCTCTAAAGAAAACATGGTAGAGCGGCATCGTGATGCATACCCTCTGGTAAATGAACAATAGTCACTATCTTAATGAATTGGAGGATATATTCAAACACATACGGTTGCATTTCACACAATTACACCTATTTTACAATTAAATGATGCATTTTGTAGTGATTAAAGGCTGAATATATGTACATTTATGTCAAAGTTGTTTCCGTAGAGCGTTGGTTTGGTGGAATCACCAAGCGGCTCTCCTGGGAGTCCTCGGACAACAAAACCGCCATGGCAAGTGGAAAATCAACTGATATTCCCTACATTTATACACGACGGACGATTAATCAATATTAATCAACATGCATGTCTATCTATCAATATTTACACCTGGTCTTTCCCGAAAGCCATTTAGAGAGGATCTTCCCCCCACACTTTTCCCACTTTTTTTGGGTGAATTTCCCTCCTTGTTGGGGCAGCTAAACCTGAGGTGGGGAGGGCATTTCAGAGACTTCATGCAGGTGGTGGAGAACGTCCGCAAGGTGGGGGAAAACAGCGCCCGGGATCAATGGAGCTGCAGCTATTCATTTATTAGAATTATTGCATGTATATTTATAGGCTTTTATAGGTACAAGTACACACACACACATATATATATATATACAGTATATATAAGGGGCGAGGCTTGAGGTTTCCCGGAGCATCGAGCAACCTTGAGTCTCTCATATACATAAGCATACAGAAGGGGTGGGGTGGGGGGGATGTTAACGTTCTTTGAACTGCGTCTCCAAAAGAAAAAAACCCTGTGGCCAAAGAACAGAAACATTCCTTTCTCCTGCCTGGAGGCGACAACATCGCCGAAAGTTTAGTTAGAATTGGTAAAGCGCAACTAAGAAGACTGGGACAATTAGGTGGACCCAAAGAGAGCTTAGAACATCGCAATCAAAATCTATGAAGACCACAAAACACAGTGAAAAATGACATTTGCACATATTTCTCCAGCTGAACTTCAATTGCGTTCCGGGGAACCTCAAACCTCTGTCCTATGTATATATACATATACAGATACATGCTTATACAATCTTATTATACACACATATACACTATACATACATACATACATACATACATACAGACATACAGACATACAGACATACAGACATACAGACATACAGACATACAGACATACAGACATACAGACATACAGACATACAGACATACAGACATACAGACATACAGACATACAGACATACACATACAGACATACAGACATACACATACATACAGACATACAGACATACAGACATACAGACATACAGACATACAGACATACAGACATACAGACATACAGACATACAGACATACAGACATACAGACATACCATACAGACATACCATACCTACATACCTACATACCTACATACCTACATACCTACATACCTACATACCTACATACCTACATACCTACATACCTACATACCTACATACCTACATACCTACATACCTACATACCTACATACATACCTACATACCTACATACCTACATACCTACATACCTACATACCTACATACCCTACATACCTACATACCTACATATACATACCGTACCGTACCGGAACGTACCGTACCGTACCGTACCATACCATACATTACATACATTGCATTACATTGCATTACATTACATTGCATTACATTACATTGCATTACATTACATTACATACCATACCATACCATACATTACATGTATATATATATATACTGTAGACATTCCAGCGTTTTGACAACTTGGAGGGAAACCATATCATTTCACGGAGGAAGAAACAGGCACCGACTTGTAGTGTGGACGAATGTGCTGGGATTGGACAAGGCCATTGCATGTCATGACAGAAGAATTCATTGCTTTGGTATCCTTTGGAGGTCAAAACATGGCCAAAAGATGGATTCTGTACCCATATTGGTGGATGGCCTCCATTTTCATAGCTTTTTATACATCATTGGTGGAATCCCATAGGTTGACCAGCAAATCACGGCCGCATTTGCTTCCCCATGGTTTGCGTTGGGTTTACACAGGAATCACTTGGGTATATGACACAACTGCAAGGCAAGAAGGCCAAGTCTAATTAAACACTCCGTTCTTTTTGGTCATTGCAACTCTAATATTTCCAAACGAATCCATAGTGTTCATGTTTTGTATACCTGATTCTGCGCGTTTCTAACTTCCATCGTGTATCACAATATATAGATAGATAGATAGATAGATAGATAGATAGATAGATAGATAGATAGATAGATAGATAGATAGATAGATAGATAGATAGATAGATAGATAGATAGATAGATAATATTAGATAATTAATTGTATAGGTACCATACCTAATTTGTATATATTATATACATACAATACACATGTATCAAACTGTATATGACATTATATTAGATGATATTATCACACTACTAGTTGGAATGCATCCTCAAATATGAGTATATAGCGTATATATGTAAACATATATAATCATATCATATCTATCCATATCTATCCGTATCATCCATTTATGGTTGGCCATCCCCTTTCTTGCTGTGCGGCCTGGCAGGATCGCTGTCTCGGCATCCACGATGGCATCTGGATCTGCACGTTTGTGACCTCGCGGCACAACGCGAACTGGTGATGGGAGAACCAGCTATCACTGAAGCTTTCCAAGGGAAAATCATGGGAAAATCATCAAAGAATGTGGATTTTCCATAGCTATGGGCTATGGGGAGACATAGCCTTTGGTCATTTTCCATTGAGAGAATAGTGATGTAAGCATGTTCACCGATATTTATTGGAGATATTATATCAAGATATGACCCTCTGGTAATTTGCTACATTGCTACGGAAAATCACGATTTTTAGAGGAACAATCATCGAACCAAATGGGCAAATTTCCATAGCTACGTTAAATTGTAAGATGGTATCACCGAAGGGTTTTCAATCTTATACCTTGTAACAAAAACTGGAAGATTGTATTTTTTTGACCCACCGTAAACAAAATAAAGCAGTTGGACATGTATGTATATGTATATATATATATATGTAATTATAGATAGTTATATATACATATATATATAACAATATAGCCGATAATATGGTCTGAAATGGGGTTACCCATCAGTGTGAAGGGGATATAAAGGATTTGGTTGGTGGTGGCATATATATTTTGCCAATCAAACTGGGGAGTAAAGCACCGTTAAATAGGACAAACTCTTTTTTTTCCCTCCACGTTGTGAAAATTGGTGCCCAACCAGCAATCATCGATGGGGATCAATGGGGTTGGTGGTTTCAGTCATCTTTGATTTTCCACCGCTGGGAGGATGATCCCAATTGCCTTCCATATTCTTTGAACGGCTGGAAACCACCAACCAGAAATTCTCTCGAAAGAACTATATGGGTGTGTCCAAGCGCGAAGTGTTCCATGGGAACGCCAGCCATGTCTTCCAAAGTCGCATAGGAACCGTACATTAGACATTAGCAACATGGGTATGGTATCGGTCAAAATCCGATCAGTACCCTGGTGAACTGCCAAAGAGCTTGGATTTATGGAGGAGGTTCATCCCCCCAAACATGGTACATTGATTATTGTAAATTATGATCCATCAAACATGATCTAAAACCAGTGGGGCCAAGTATGGCATCAACCCTCGATGTACTACTTGAATCTGGTCAACCGTTGCAACCTGACTGTTGAGAAGGGTCTTGTGGATGGTGGTCCCCATCCCTTAGAGCCAAACATGATGTTGAAAATAGCGGATGTTCAGGTGTGGATGTTCAGGTTCTGCTGTTAACATCTAACATCATCTAACATCATCTAACAAAGTCTCAGGCCAGAAAATTCAGCATAACCGCCTTCGGCATAGGCTTTGAATCAATTTGGTGATGATTTGGGCCACTTGGTGCGTCGAGCGCCTCCGCTGGTTTGTGTGGCAATTGGGTTCCTTCGAGTTACTGAGCGCCAGCCTTCTAATATGTTAATGCGTTCTGAGGAACTGACAGCATCATGAGTTCTTCAGTCGTGAATATGCACATATCCAGCCCGGCAATGCTCCGCAGTACGACCTTCGGGTGAAGCCCCAAAGAATCAGTGAAAGTGGATCATCCTGCAACCAGCAAGTATCTGACAGAAGTATCATGACGTCTTCAATCTTGTTGGTGGAGTCAGCCCCCCGTTTGTGTGAGAGTTTAACAACTACTGGTACAACATGTATATACATCTATATACAATGTAACATTATTATATCATATTTATATATATATATAGTGATCTATGTCTGGGTCTACGTGTATATAGGTAATACGTACTTTTAAATTACTGTAAAATAGCATATAATATGTAGTAATTATCTTCATATGTATTTATTGTTTTTTCATACTGTTCTATACTATATCATACTATAATATATTATATTTTCTTATATTTTTTTATATTATATTATACTATATTATATCATGTTATATATATAATTATATATTAAGATTGGATGATTTTATATATTGTAATAACATATCATCCAATATCAATATATATATATATATAACATGATATATGTTCTATATATCTATATGTTCTACTGTATATATATTCTTTCTATCTATGTATATATCTATGTATATATCTATATTCTATATTCTATAGTCTATATACATATCATATATATATATATATGTATATATATATATATCTAAATCTATAGTTTATATCCCTTATTGGTGTGATCAGCCTGCACCATGCACCACAAAAGCCCCCCATCTCTGAGGTTCCTCTTTGGATCGCTGCCCTTTTGTCAACGGCCTCACTCGCAGCGAACATGTTTGCTTCTTGGCGCTGAGATCAGGCGGTGAGTGAGTGGAACCTCGGGGCGGGTTGCAATGTCTGGTTTTTGTAGGCAACTTACTGCTACCTCAAGTCACACAATTTGTAGGGACATACACACTGCCTAAAACTCAGAGTTAGCCAGATACTTGGATGGCTTATATGGTCTAAACAATGACCAGCCAGTCGTTATTTCTGCTGGCACCCATTTGTGGCATCCCCAGGCGACGATTCCCAAAAAGGTACCCCAGTTGGGAGGTTTCCACGCGCATCCCCATGTTTTGTTGGTGATTTTCTCTGTCACCACAGTATCCCATATCATATCTAGTTGTTACCCCTCATGGCAGTTGGATCGTACCCCTCAGTTACCGCATATATATATATATATACATGTATATATAGTTACAGTACTGCTGATCTCCATCCCCGTGCCTATTTCTTGGTTGATTCATCCCTATAGTCCAAAAAATCCAAGCAATTATTGTTGGTGGGACGTTTCATATATCCGTGCCTCATCTCTATTATGATTGCTGCTTGACTTCCATGTATTCTTGGAGCAGTGAAACCTCATTGTATTGTCCCCCCAAGATTGCTTGCCATTCCCTTCTTATTAGATCACATCCCCTGTTGGTTCTTTCTGGAGTACATATCCATTACATATCCTCTATTGTGACTTCGCATCGTTGAGATGTCCATTCCGCCGGCCACATGAAATCATCCCAGGTTTAGTCGTGGATCGTCAAATCGGCTCTCTGACTCGAACCTGGTGCGCGTTCGAGCTGCAGAGACTTGGTCGAAGCAGTGAACCTTGGGCCCAGGGACACGTCAAAATGAAAGACCGGAACTGCTGGCTTTCAACATTGTTTTACATATATGACTTCATATATATATATATGACTATATATATATGACTAATATATATATATATATACATACATATATATATATATATGTATCTATATGTATGTATATATGTATATATACATATTTGCACATTGTACATACATATGTATACTTGTATATACGTATTTGTTATTTTCAGCCCTTTTTTCAGGCCCATTGAGGCCACCAAGCAGCAAAGAATTTCTGTGAAGTGATCAGACATCCAATTTTGATGAATTTTGTTCCAGGGCAAGCAATTTTGACCTCGACCTGGATGGCAGTTCAATCGCAGAACTACCAAAACATGGTCTTTTGAGATGCTCATCACGTTCACCTGAAAGAAGAGTTGGTGTTCCCTGCGTCGACCCTGCCATAGGCTGAGCGCAGACGAGCAAAAGACTTTAGATCTGCACGAAGCTTAGACTCAGCGGGCCTAGGTTGCTGAAATGATCCCACATTTCGTTCCATCCCATTGCATCCCAGAAAACATCCTCATAGTATTGGTATTTGCTGATGAATCTGCTGGTAATTTTCCTCATTTTTCCTCTATCACATTATTCTTTTCCCATGCTTTACCTTTATATCCCATGATATCCTAAGATTTTGCTGGTGATCTATTCCCATTCTTGGGCGAATTTTCCCTTTAGCGGTTCAATCCGAACTGCTAACTGAGGAGACGATCCCAAGTTTTTGCTGAGTAAATCTCATGCTTTTTGCGCGGAAAACCTAAGGCTTCTTAAGGGAAACTCCCCGTTTTTGACAGTTAAATCATGTTTCAGGTGAAATCCAATTTTTCCACGTGAAATCCACATGTTTCAAGTGAAATTCGAATTTTTGCGGAAGATTTCCCTATTTCCACACCTTGCCCGTTCGGAGAGTCGATCTGCCGAGGTATTCGCCCACTGGAAAGGTAGGCACCGAGGGAGGGGCATCATCCGTTGCCCTGCTGGATGCAGTGGAGGCGTGGATGGAGTTGTGGTGAGGTCATCCGAGTTTTCGAAGGTGATTTTCATGCGATAAACCCATTGATGGTATGTTTTTCTATTGCGTTTACCACATTATATGATATTATATGTTATGTATGTTGGGTAATGTTAGTTGTCCTCCGGCATCAAACATGGCAATTGAAAATCCCAAATCCCGTTTTGCATGCATAATTGAAGCATTTCCTAGCCATTTCTGCACATGGTGGTTTAAACTATGGCTGATTTATGTGGTAAAGGTCATCTGAAATCTCCAAGTGGGGATGCTTTATGCTGTATATGTCTTGGGTTTACCACAGTACTTGCCTTCCGGAATTCCCTTAGCCTCCAGCGTCACTTCTTTTCTGCCCAGTTTTCAATTCAATAGGTGGCGAGCATGTCTTTTATCATCATTTTGCCTATTGCAATGGCCATGTTAGGGGCATATCCCATTTTTAATACAGACCCATCAGATTCTGATCCCCATTCTGTTGATGAAATCATATGAAATCTCAATACATACATTTTTTCGATGCTTATGTTGATTCAATCATATTACATCATATTACCATCTGGTTATTTAACATAGCCATGGAAAGATCCACCATGTTTAAGAACGGTAAACCATCTATTTTCATGGGCCATGGCTTCCATGGCTATGTTAAATTACCAGAGGGTAAATCGATTCCATATTATGATTCAAATCCATACAATCATATGAAATCATATGAAATCTCAATACAAATCACTCATGATTCAATCATATTAAATCCACCTGAAGTGGATTATAATCCCATTCAATCCCACTAAATCCCCATCAAAATCCCCAGTGAATCCAGGCCTGGGACATCCGCGACACGGACACCAGCAATGCGGCGGACCGACGGCAGCATCCCGGCGGAGAGGGATACCATCCGATGCGAAGAGAAAACCTATGGAAAACCATGGAAAACTTATGGAAAACCACAATTTTATCATAGTTTATCAATTTTCATAGGTACATATAGGTACATCATCTAGATTTTTTGCCTGATTACCAGAAGATGTTGAAGAATGGGGACAAAAAACGAGAGTTGAGCAACAACACATCTTTTGTTTTTTGGCAACCAATTTGTGCAACAACAGAACCGGGATTTGGGTTTTAAAAGAGGGATTTCACAAGATTTCACTCACAATCAAAAAAGCGGGGTTTTCTCAAGGTTTGAAGACATTTGAAGACATCATATAAATATATATAAATACATATATAAATAAATAATATGCATAATATTTGACAGTTCTCCGCATCGCTAGACCTATGAACTCAGGATCTTCAATCGCATTGCCGGAGTCGATGAACTCAGTGGCATCCAGAAGGACCCTGAGGGCAGGTTCCCCGGCGACTGCGGGGGTTCTTTTTGGGGACAAGATGGGAGTCACAATCCATCTGCAACAAGGAATCCATGTATGGTATATATGCCAACATTGGGGGTATATTGATGGTAAATGTTACCATATATAGCATACATGGATCCTATGGGTCTGCAACGAGGAATCCGTTAGATTTTATCGTTTCCAGTGAGCCATCTGATTTGGGAGGGAACTCAATGACTTGGGTTACATCGAAAAAAAATCGGACCCATGGTCACTAGGTACTTTTTGGGTTCGTGGCTACTGCAACCAGGCTTGATAGGACAAATCAGCCTGAAATTGGCCATCAACTTCTCCGAGGAATCTTGCACTGGTCTACTGGGATATGTGTGAATGTGATTCGTGACATCCAAAATACATCACATCCGGAATACAATATTGTGTCAGATTTGTTGGTCTGGTAAGGATAATCACCCCCAGGGTGTAACATGGCAGAAACATGCAGAAAGAGATTCTGTCTTGATTGGAGTGAACATATGTTGAATAAACAATGTCGGTATATTTTGGGACAAACACACTCAAAATGTTCCAACACCTCATGATGCAATAAAAATTCCCATGATTTATGAGGTTTTCCCCTTGATTTTAAATGTTTAAAACCTCATGAAAACCTCTTGATTTTAACCCCCTTGGGTTTTCCCCTCGAGGCCGCTGATGGACCGGGGCAAGAAAAAGCTGGAAGACAATCTCCTTGACCCTGCAGGGCGCTTGCGATCACGCACCAAGAGCAAAGGCCGCCGCCTGGGCTGGCCTGGGTGGTAGGGGATGGAATCTAGCTTGTTGATGGTCGGTGAAGCCAGATAAACCCAATCGGACCAGACTGATTTATCAATATATATATACCACTATTTATCCAAATTTTGACATTTGGAGGTTTAATAAACCTAAAACATTGGTTTATTATTGGGCATGCCAAGTTACCTGTTTGGTCAATGCAAGGTTACCTATAGCCATCACGGCGAGATGGTGGGTTGTAACACGCTGCAACCCATTGCCTGATTATTGACGAACCTGAAGGAAGATCCCCTGTTCCTTCAGCTTCCTTTCAGGTTGGCAAATGGGTGTGTCTGAAATGGGTTATATGGTTATACCCCAAGACATGCCATTCTATAAGAAAATGATCACTAACCTTGGAATTTTAGGGTATAGGGATCCCCAAAAACATAGACTAGTGTTCTAGGATGTTATAGAAGATGTTTCCTTCATTTTCCTTCATTTTCCTTCATATTTCCAAGTTTCCAACTTCTCTATCTTTCTGGGAGTTGCCACATGATTTGGATGCTGTTCCAGGGCAGCTATGAAGCTGGAGTAATTCGGGAGATTGCCAGAATACAGCATTTCAAACCGTTGCCTCCAAGATAGAACATGAACAAACGGTACAAACCAGTTGTGAAGATTCTTAATGTTTGTTTCGTACTTCTATAGCTATATATCATTAATCATCCTTAGAATTCATAAATTCTTATTCCTCTTATACTTATCAGTCATGATATTGATGTATAATGTGGGCGAAACAATAGTAAACCATCCCCCAGTCATCACCATAAATAGTTGGTATCAACTATTCCCAGTCATGGGTGGTTTATGACATTGTTTTACCCACATGAAACACAAGACTTCTATCCTTGAATTCTCCCAGTTGCATCCGGAAAGGCAAAGTGGAGTATGCCCACGAGGCTCGCCTCGTGCATGAGCAGTGCAGCAAGTTTGAGGCGATCAACAGCTTGGTTCGAGGCCGAACCCCGAATTTCTGGGAGATCTGGGGAATATATGGGGAATATATGGGGAATATATGGGGACTATTAAGCTGGTGATTTATCATAAAGATTCTTGTTGGTTGTTACTAAGCATAAATTGACATGTAATGGTCAATTGATTGTTATTGGACAACAAATAACAACCATAATGGCGCTTTAACCGTCACGAACGAAATGTATCACTAGTACATGATGCGATATGGCAAAGTGACTATCATTCATGGGTTGACCAAGTCATGGAACATCCAAATTGAACCCACATATTTGATGGGGTCTATTTTGTTCAAGTGATGATGGAAATTTTGCATGAACGATATTTCGACTCATGGTCAGCAAATTTCACTCCTCTGGTTTTACCCTGCCACCAAATGTAGAAGCAGGGTCGTTCCAAACAGGTTGAAACATTGAACCGTTTGAGCATCAAACTGTTTAAACACATTTAAAGTTCGGTTCCATATGTTTAAACTGTTTAAACATATTCATCAGATTCTGGAGATGGCAACGCTGATATTGGACCGTCGGATCTTGTGACCTTGCTTTGACCTCTCAAGATGCTTAAACACACGTTTAAACACGTTTAAACAGATGCGGCCGGGAAGACTGAAATGTAATACAGTAATGAGTGATTTGATGTAAGTAGTAAGAACGGGTGAGCGAGAAAGAAGCACCAGGGTGATGTCCCTAGCAGCAGATTTCTCAGTGTTTGATTCTGCAAGTGCGCATAATATCATGCGGTTGGTCCTCAATCTCTTGGAATTCGTTTAAACATGTTGGCGCCAAACCCCACGTTCGACCATAACCCACAATATCTCTCCTCTACTATCTAAATTAAACATGGTTTATATTACACCCTCCAAACACAGACACACGTTGAACAAAGACCAACGGTCAAGCACATGAGCCATGCAGAGAAGGATATCCGGCTGAGACATCCACAAGTTTAGCAGGGACGCTTTCTACTGGGGGAATCTAATCTTCATAAGGGATCGAATGCACCACCCTCTCCACTTCTCTTCATAAGGGATCAAATCCCTCACCCCCTCTGAACAAATATGTTAAATGGTTTATTAGTTTCCACTTATCTTCATTTGTGCTACCAGTATGGCAAGCATAGCTGGTTGACGGATGCAGAGATGTAGCGGGAAGTCTATAAACAGGTAGGTTTGCACCGCTGCTCCACAGGGATTGCAGAAGGGGTTCAAGAGGGTCACCATGATAATGATGATTTGATGATGATGGTGATGCAGTGATGCTGATGATCATCATGACGATCGTGATCATGTCGCGTTCAGTTGACTTCTGGCACGGTCAAACGTAGGACGTAGGGTTTGCAGCGAACATGTTTAAACGAATTCAATGTGCGCATGATCTCACGCTGTTAGGTCTACAATCTCTCGGAATTCGTTTAAACATGTGAACATGTTTAAACATTTGATGTTTAAACGTGTTCCCTGCAACCCCCTGGTTCGCCCACACTCAAACAACACATCTAAACAATATGATATACTTGTCACCAGAGGATGAATGAAAACACTGGCTATACGCAGTGATTTTGACTTTAAATTTTCAGGATATAGGGTTTTAATTTAGGGTTTTGGGTTTTAGGTTTTAGGGTTTTGGTGTGTGTTGTTTTGGAAAGCAAAAACTTGAACCCTGCGCAGGGATTTGAACATGTCAAAAGATATGCGGGATTGGCCGCGGGCAAACCTAGGGGTTGCAGCGAACATGTTTAAACACATGTTGGTCACAGGCTGTACCAACAGCGTGTGGGTGTGAAATGTTGACAAATCGTGGGGAGCAAAGAATGCCATAGATCCCATGCTGGAACTGCCTCCAGGAAAGGTGAAGGAGAGCTTTGCGCAGCAACACGAGTGTAGAGGCTTTGCTCGTGTGCGATGATGCATGGGATGACCGGCCGGTATTGAAAGCCATGGTGACGACTGGGGATCCCCAGTAGAAACCTCCATATTTTTATCCATGCTGTAGCGACTGGTGATGTCCATGAGTCCAGTCCTGGATTCCTGGATCCAATCCATCCGGGATATGAAGGTATCTATTTGTGGTGACACGTTGAAGGTGAACCGACAGCAATGCACTGATTGGTGAATTTTCATGACTTTCAGGAAGAAATAGGAGTTGTTTCATGAGCACAGCTTTGTTTTTGCGGGCTTCGCTTTCTGACCCAAGCTCAGTTGGATTTTGACACCCTGCCATGGCTTGCTGTTGTTCGGTTTCTCAGCAGGACATGTTTAGACCTTTCATCTGTGAATGCGAAGATAAACACATGCTTCCTGCTGCTCGACATCCAGGAAGAAAAAAATATAAAAATATTGTTTTCATTTGGGAGGGTTCTACTTGGCCAGCTCTTCTTTCCTGTACCAATACAGTAATCAAACATGTCGTTCGATGATTTCCCCGTTAAAACCTCCGGGTACCACCGGCAGGTTGTCGCATCCGAGACCATACCCTTCGAGGTGCCGTATAACCAGATGAAGCAACAGCGAAGCTTGCGACTAAAACAGCAACAGATTAACAGATTCAACTTATCAATGTATTTCTATAATTGTTAGATTATTGTTAGATTATTTTTGCAGACTTTGTAGATCTTTGCAGTATGTAGTAAACTCAATGCAAACTCCCATTTTGGGGACAATTTTTATCAACAGCTTCTGGACCATACCGGTGGTCTTCGTCGGCGAGGCATTCCACTGGGACAACTCAAAAAATTCTTCCGTCAGGCAATGCGTCAGGAACTCAGCCGCTGGGGCCTGGGAAACAAAGACGACTGAGGCATCTTAAGTTATAGGTTACAGTATAGTGACCCAGAAAAAAGATAGAAGAGCAAAATCCCACTAAGATAGTGTTTTTTTTTGGGGGGGAAGGGGGGCTGCTATATCTGCGATATAAAGCCGGCCATCCAATTCTTGGGATACGGATGCTTCCAGTGTTCACCTGGACCTCAGGTGAATTGCGCGGACAATGGAAAGATCTGACTGCTACTGGGCGAACATGTGATGGCTGACACACGTGACACACCTGGGGGGCGAAATCCTATTGGGTGCAATTGCTACGCAACCGGGGTTTGTTTCACAATCACTATACCAGAGCTTCGGGTTTGTTGCAAAGAGCCAGTGCAACAGTGCAACATTGATGCATTGAAAATTCATCCATGGTCATCTTTGGCTTTGAAGGTCTTGATGGTTGTAGGCACCCATCCTTCGCTTTGGCTCTCTGTTGTGTTTTCTTCTCCACTTCTTAACTGATTATATAAGTGAATGCAATAACCCCAAGAAAAAAAAACACAATGGTTTATCATGGTTTATCATCATGTTGCCCATTAGAATTACCAAATTTCTGCTCAAACCCATTTAATGTGAACATCCCAATGTCCTTGCTGTGGGAGACTAAACAAAGTGCAATGACATACTGTGAGGGGCCTCGGCTTGTCATGGGTTATTATCAACGTAAAGTTCATTTCGAGACCAAAACCAGAGGATCGAAGCTTGTCATCATGCTGATATGTTTTCATCCACACAGAAGTGGTATTGTTGATATGTTTTCCTATCCGTAAATCTCAGTGTGAAGATGCTACCAGGTTCAAAAATTGGAAGACTATGTGTGGCAAGCTTAGTCCTCGGGGTTCAACCAGAACCAGCGACAGTGACAGTGGAAACAACGAAAGAACCACACAAGAAGTATGGGGGTGTGGCATCATGTGGTATCTATATGTTATGTATCTATCATAAGTCGGGAAAGCCATTGTGTTTCAAAAAACATAGCGGTCCAATGAGTTTCAAAATTTTAGGCAGCATGTAATACATGGCATGTGATGAAAACAGGGGCCTTCCAGTTTTACAAGATCGGTGACTGGGCAGGAACTTCAAGCTGTCGCCGAAGATTGACGGAGACCGGGAAACTGTCGACATGGTCAGGGCACGAAGTATCAGGGCTGAGAACGAGTGCGTTTCACCTGTACTTCAGCTTCATCATTTCTGGAGTTTTCTTGAAGTTCTTAGTCTTTGACTTTGCATGTTGCAGACTCTCTTTAGACTCTAAGAAGTTCGGCTCAGTCTTTGATCTTCCCAGCATCGTGGCCCCAACTCTGGATAGTCATGAAGTCTGAGTGTCGAACCAGATCCGGATTAGCAACTAGAAACGAACCTCAGTTTTGAGTCCAGTTGTCACATTGCTGTACGGACTCCAACTTCCAACCTCAAGTGCAAGTTGTGATTACATACCATTTCTATGGGTTAAAGCTGGGTCACTGGGGGTACGGTTCCACATCCAACACAATGGTCCCACAATGACACCAGGAGTGAAGTGTTCCTATGTGGAGACGGTGGTAGAGAAGCCAATGCCTCCAGCCACTAGCCCTGTTGATTTCAGCAGGATCCAGCTGGATACCTGGGTGAAGGGGAGGTTCATTGGCTGTTTGTTTTGTCATGTTTTGTCTATAAGTGGGGGATAGTGGGGGTACAGAATAGATAGGCTACCCAGCTCAATAGTCACTAGACTTTGATCAAGTTTTGCAGGATATCTGGATCTCCAAGATTAGTGACCATCATTGCTGGAACAGATCCGTTGGTTGCACGACCTATACAGACAAACTCTCCAGAGCCCAGGGTCCGGTAATCAATCGTGGCAAGGGGGAAATCCCGCATCATCAATGGCTAAATTGTTCTTGCCATGTTGTGAGGCTACGCAGTCACGTGTGAGGCAAACCCTAAACCCCTACCATTTGGCTGACGGTCACTAGCAGCGTCTCCCAGTAAATCTACATGATATCACCATGGAGATGTATGGTACGATTGTCTTGGTTACATCCCAATGTTTGTTGGCAAAATCAACATTCTAAATGTGGTTGAATGCCAATGTTTGTTGATTAGATATGATTAATGTCAACCCTGGATTAATAAACCCCAAACGGTTGTTTAATTGGGGGATACGATACAAACGTATCAGATTATGACTATTTGGGGTTACTCCCTCATTAATAAACCATGGTTTAGCAACATCCGGGGTTGACATTACATACATCTCCATTCTGGTTCGTCAAATCCGCATGTTCGTTGGTTAAACATGTCACAACTCACTGATTTTGGTCAGTCGAATCCATCAATTTGGTTACTGAGAATCAAAACCCCAACTGTTTTGATTAAATCAACAACTTTTGGGTGAAATCCCCAACTGTTTCGGTTAAATCCCCGACTTTTGTATACTTTTGTGTCAAATCCCCCAGCTTTGGTCACTTTAGACGGTGTACCTGGCCTTCGCCTCGGACGGCAACGTGCCGGAGCTGGTGAAGGGCGTGGAGTGGCTCGCGGAGGCACGGGAGTTGGAGACTTGGAGGAAAAGGTGGGATGACAAAGCCATCAACAAATACTGTAGATGAAATGGAAACTGAATGGAAATAAATGGTAGATATGAATGGGAAATAAATGGACATTATATTATATTATAATTATATTATATAAATTATTTATTATTTCATTATATTTGCTGGGATATTATATAGTCAATTATGTTAACAAACCATATTTGATGGGGATTTTAGTGGGATTTAATGGGATTATCATCCACTTAAGGGGATATTATACCAACATCCATCAACAGATAGATGAAATGGGATTCCATGGAATTGTTCATGGTAGATTTGGTAGATATGAATGGGAAAATTAATGGAACTTATATTTACTGGGATATCAACAAATACCCTCTGGTAATTTCACCTAGCTTTTGGAAATGGCCATTGAAATAGTTGATTTACCTATTAAAGATGGTGATTTCCCATAGCTATGTCAATTTACCAGAGAGTAGATTAAATGGGATTTCATGGAATTTACTGATAGATTTAATAGATATTCATGGGAAATTAATGGACATTATAATTATATAATATATAGTCATATTTGCATGGGATATTAGTCAATTAACCATCATGTTTTCTTAAGTGTTGATACTAGTGTTGATCACCAATAGATTAATCACTTTTAATCACTATTATCAACATTTATACCACTATGATATAAGCATATCAAAAATTCCGATTAAATGGCACCTAGGCGGATACAGTTCGGTAGTGGGATATCTACCACATATAACCCATATACATACAGTATGTGTATATATATATACATACTATAGCCAGTTAATCTAACTCGGGTATTTCATTTCTTGTGATTCCTGAGATACCCCAAGTAGAGGGATCTCAACGAACTTCGCAGAACTTCTGTGACTTTTTCACCGCGCCGGATCGCCGGACAACCCCAATTGGCTGAGCTAAGGATGACGACACCGCCTTTTTCTTTGAGATTTTGTGCCTCAGCGAGGACTGGTGCGCTTCTGCCGAGGTTTTGCCTAGGTTTTGCCTAGGTTTCGCAATTCCGATGCCAGGGCGCTAAAAGGAAATAACATGAAATAACATCTGATTCCAAAGTGGAACACTGCAAAGAAAATTGGAGAACGTGCAGTGCTTTGCCAATCCAAATCGGAACTACTTTTGATCAATTTGCAGATCCAAATCACTTCCATTTTCAAAGGTCACAACGTGACACAACGTGCATCCGCGCAGGATGAAATGACTAGCATCAATACCTATAGCTACCATAAGGTTGCATCTTCTGATCCTGGGCAGCATGGGCAAAGGATCTGTTGAGTCAATGTTGATCACTTGCCCGTGGATGGCTGGGCTAGCCATCCATTGAAGATAGGCAATGGATTGAAAGGACATGGACACTGCATACAGCATATCCATTTGTTCTCAAAAGATACCAGTTGGGTACAACCTATCATATCATTGCAAGTGGATCCGCACGTACCCATCATCGTTGTTGCTTGTGTTCTTGTCACATCCCTTTTCGATCCTTTTCGCACTTTTCCTGGTGCATCCTGATTGTACGTTAGATAAGATAGTATAGCTGCAAGGCTTTGCCCACAACGTTTTTCAACGGCCACAATACATACCGGGCCTGCTGGGTTTGTGGTTGGGTCACTGATGGGGAATCCCCATGAATCATGGTCATGAAACACATGTATATCAAACATCATTATATTATATTATAATGTAATGATTAGTTTTATATATTCATATGGTGATGATTAGTTTTATAATATCATTGTAATATGATGTATATTATAAAACTAATCATCACGGTTCGTTACAAGATATTTGAAACGCTGGATTTGAACGTTTTTGTGGTAGTTATGATAGCCATTACAACATAACTGGTTGATGGTTTGGAACATTTTTTATTTTCCATAATATATGGGATAATTCTTTCCATTGACTTTCATATTTTTCAAGATGGTTAAAACCACCAACCAGATAAAATTACTTACCATATTTGGTTCCACCAACATAACTATGGAAAATCACCATTTATAATGGATTTACCCATGAACAATGGTGATTCTCCATACTTCTGTTAGTTTACCAGAGGGTACCATATTTGGTGTCCACGGTTGGTAGACACTCGCCACAAGTTGCTGCAAGGAAAGTCAAGGTATCCTGGTAGCCCACGGTTGCGATCGAGCCTGGGTCTTGTCCCTTGGGAGCGTTTCGGGGCGAAGAAAAGGGCCTGGACTTGTTTTATTTGGATGACTTTTAATGGTCTTATGGTCTTATGATACTGGTCTTTAGAGAATGTTTAATAGTTTTTAATAGTTTTTAATGGTCTTATGGTCTTATGATAATGGTCTTTGGAGAATGTTCAATAGTTTTTGATAGTGTTTAATAGTGTTTAATGGTATTATGGTCTTATGATAATGGTCTTTGGATAATTTTTAATAGTTTTAAATAGTTTTAAATAGTTTTAAATAGTTTTTAATGGTCTTATGGTCTTACATTGCATGGTCTTCAATGGTTTCAAACCAATTTCTATGAATGATTGCTGTTGATTTGTTGATGATGATAATGTGAACATTGGTTGTGGATGGTAGAAATTTGATATCCTCCGAGTGTGGTATGGTTCACCCACTCTTTTGCGCCTGCATGATGAGTTTTCATTGAAAGTTGCAAGCTTTGAACCAAAGAACCCATCAATTCAATATCGCATATATATATACTATATATATATATGTATGCATGTCTTGGCCGATACAGACGGTAAGATACTATGACGGATGTTGATCCATGCACTTGCAAGTCACAAGTCACATCAAGCTGAGCTCGATCCCAATGGCCCAGGCAGATTCCAGGCCAGGACGGCTCCTGAGGTGTGATTTGGCCTATTTTTTGCGTGAGGACAAATTTGTGGATCTTGGGTGCCCCAATGGAGTGCTCGCATGTGGCCTGGCGGAAATGGAAACTGGGTCAGTGTGAATGAATTTTACATCACCCATTAATGGTGGGTACTTCAATTGTCATAATGGGTGGCATGATGGGTATATTTATGGTCAACTCCTCATTATACCCACGATAGGTGTGCAATCGTGGATTCAATTATTGTATGCAACACCCGAGACAGATCTTCTGCTGCCGGTGAACCATAGCTTCAGTTACTGGAGTTGGCTAGTCATAATTGAAGTCAACAGGGTGAATATGTATATTATATACAATACATATGTATATGTACATGTATATATATACATCCACACATACATATATATATATATCTTTGGTTGCTTGGTTGTGATTTGGCAATAGGTCCAGAGAGAGCAGAGTTGACCAGTTATGACTAGGAAGTAGGGCTCAAGGCTATTTCCGGAGCACCATGTTTCTCTTAATTTAGCAAACTACTAACTAAAATTTAAATATATCACAATCTCATGGAGAAACCACCAAGTGGGACCCACATTCTATGGATTTGTTGGGAACATTTCCGTGAACCCCCCATTGATTTCAAAGCTAAATCACCACCAATTGGTGATAAAACATCAAGAGATATGTGTCGATCCCATCAATTTTACCCCCCTATAGATCCAATACTAAACATAGATTTCCAAGGTACAGTAGGGATTAGTTGAATCAAGTTGAATCCCCCTTTTTTTGGTCATTTGAGTCATTTTAGCTGGCGAACATCTTCAAAATGGCAAGCTGTGGGCATCGACCTAATGGCATCAAGGCACTCGTCCCTTCCGCGACAACGGCTTTGAGTATGGCCAGTTCTGTGACGCGGCCGTGCCATTGGTTTCCATGGGGAAATGTTTTTACAGGAGCGGGGATAGCAGCAATAAAAACCACATAGATCAATAAGGATACATATATACATAGATTATATTTGCTTAAATGAAATTTGATTGGATTTGATTAGATGAGATCAGATTATATTCGGTTTGATCCTATCGGATCGATAGATTTGATAGATGGACGGATGGATGGATGGACGCACAGACAGACAGGCAGGCAGACAGACAGACAGATAGATAGAACTAGTTCAAGAGCCTCTTGTCAAGAAATGCAATCGTTGTCTTTCACCCGTCAACAATGGGGATAATGTAGCTCATGATGATAGGAGCAACACCAGATTTTGTGGTTTTCGAAAACGAATCAATCTTCGAGCAGGACGCCCCACGCTCAAAATTCTAGCCCGGAAACTGACTCCAAAAGGTGAATAGCATAGAGATGTGATGGGATCGATGTGACAGAGTCATTAGTCACCTAGCTTTACCCACTGATGAACGGTGAGATCACATTGGACCAACAAGGTCATCCCAATGTCATGCAGCTTCAGTCGTGGTCCGAGGTAAGACCGAACTGCAGAATATCTTGAAGCTAAGGCTGGGCATAGTCGCGTTGACTGGGTGGTTGTTGGGTTGTTGGTGGTGAGCTCTTCTGAAACTAAGAAGGAGCCCATGCCTCTCCTGGCAGGTGCGAAAGTGTGTATCGTGGCCATTGCTCGGAAGCAGAGTTTGAGTATGTCAAGTTTCTTGGCAGAGATTTTGCTCCTGCATGACGGGGGCATTATTTATGTTACTTTACGGAATCAAAAAGACCAGCAAATCAGTGTATAGGTCATTTTGCTATTGTGAAGCCTGTGAAGCACTTTTTTTTTTGGGTCCAATAGTTGACCCGTGGCCATATATACTGGACTGTACCAGATATACCAGTTGTGATGACATCTCTTTCCCTACGAGTCCCTCTGTGCAGTCATCGCAATGTTTGTCTAAGGCGATGTATTGCAGAATGTTTTCCAAATGCTCCGACACCTCAAGAGGCCAGCTTCCTGCCGTGTAGCAAAGGATGGGATGGGGATCAACGGCTGAAGTCCATGGTTCTTATGGTGGACAAGAAGGAACCGGAATGAACGATGGACCTCAGAGTCTCTATTTTTTGTGTAGGCTGTGACGCGTGGATTTTATGATTTTACACGCAACCAACAATTAGTTTACCATAGCTAACCAAATCTTTGGCTGCCCTTAGTTCATATCAGAGATTGTTTGGCACAGTTTGGCCTGTCAAAAGGACAATCCCACATCCATGGGTCGAAAAAAAAAATCGTTGCGCTAACCTGGATATTTTGGATCCTGATATCCTCATGTTGAAATGGGGAAAATGAAAACCGTAATGCACCCAATAAATGGCGAAATCACAAAAAACCGGTTTTCTTATGTGAGATGTATATACATATTTTTATGATACTCATATATAATTTATATAATCTAATGATATCTAATTTATACTATGTATGTAACGATTCTTGGATGAATGGCTGGCAAAACGACGATGTTAATTTCATGCCCTTGCTCGCCTTGCTCGGACTGTGCTGGGAGGCCTACACCTTGTTCGAAGACGCCTTGAAACAATTTGCCTGCGGCCCTTTGATGCGCAGTGCCACTTGACAGGGATGTAGGATTTGAATGGATTTGATGCATCAAAATGCTTGATGCGCTAAATTCCAGAAACGGCTGAGATGTTTTTGGAGCATTGTTCTTTCAATACACCAGAAGAACGTGTTGATTGCCAAAATTTAGGTTTACCAAATTGCACACAAAATCCTTGGAAGTGCCGATGTGTTTGATTCTTTTTTGTCTTCTTTAGGGGACCAATTTGCCTGGAAGCTTGAAAGAAGCGAACCCCTCTGTATCGGCCTATTATGTTGAAATGGACCTGTCATTCTGGTGTAGCCATACCGCAGTTGGTCGAAGTGTTCATTGATTTCTCGCAACCTCCCGGCATGGCAATGTGTGTTTTGACCCGATAGCCAAAGGTCGCCGAGTATCTACCGCTCCCGTTCTCTCCCATGTTTGGTAGCAACATCCGGTTTTTCTTGGTCAAAGCACATTCGCACCGTGGTTAAGACCTCGTTGCATTGCTTCAATCGCACTATTTTTGTGTCCTTCCATTCCCTTTTTGTCTGTTAAATCATCCCCTGTTGGTTGAATCTAAAGAATCCCATTTTTGACCAACGGTCACAGGCAGCTTTCCACGGCGATGGCCATTTCATGCGGAAATGGTGTGGTGCTCCAGGCTTTGGCGAGCCAAAAATACAGGGGAACGTGGCTATTTATTGATGGTTGGATGTGGCTATTTAGTATTGATTCATGGCTAAGGTGAATCAGCTTATTGTTGATTAATGCTATGAATAGCCGAATTAGGTTATACTATGTTATACTTATATATACTTATTGCTGATGAATGGCTAATCAAGAATCAAAACAATGTTATGAACTTGCGGTTCGTAAGAAGAATCACCCGCTAATGGCCAATATTCAGGTTAGGGAATTATGATATTTTATCGCGATAATATGGATTAAAGCAGGACACGTGGGACATTCCAGGGCAACAATGGGTCAATCTGTGTGTAGACATGGTTGAAGGGTAGGTTTTACCATAAAACTATTGATTTAACCAGCAGGATTTTTCGGGAGCCAAGGCCTAAACACAATGCGGCATACCTTGGTGCTGTCACAAGCTATGTGTTCACCGGATGTTTGAGATGTCATGAATGCAATCATCAAGCTCATATAACATCTGGTTATTTAACATAGCCATGGAAAATGACCCATTTATAGATGGTTTACCTATTAAAATGGTGATTTTCCATGGCTATGTTAAACAACCAGAGGGTAACAATATTTTCTTCTTGTTTGAGATGTTTTTTTCATTTTTTTCACCATCCATATTTGATCCCTGGTCAAACATTGGATATCCCGATATTTGAGGATGGTTATACCATGTTATACCTGCAATTAGCATGGCTTTGTAATGGCCAATATAAGGGTTGCGACCAGAACCTATAAACCATGTTCTGACCATGGTGCACAAGGAGCTATGTATCAGATTCGTTTTTGATGTATAATTTATTTCTTTCTTGGCGATTTGAAGCTCAGCTGCTCGCCTACGTGACACTTGGAATTCCGATGCAATCTTACATGCTTCTTTGCATGTCTCCGAGGCACAAAATTTGTGATAAATATAGATATAATATTATATGCATATAACACAACGACATAGTTTGTTTGTGGGTCATCTATATCACCCACAATAAGAGCCTTATAGCTGGCTGGTGGTGTGAGATCATTTCCAGTTTTCATCCTACTTGGGAATATACCACTTTATTTTGGGATTGGGTTCAAACTAATTGAAACTACAGACTAGTGACTGTTTTGTTATTATTGCTTAATAGGGTCTTTCAGTTGAACGTAGACATACCAGCCTCCAGTGGTTCAGATATACTTGTACACAGTGATGTGTTCATGACGGGTCTGGACCACTGGAGGCTGGGTTTCTTGGATCCATTTTAGATGTTCATCCTTGTCTTCATGAGTTATATATATATATATCATATATATATATATGCACAATTTTCTAAACATACATGAACAGCACATGTAGAACAAAGAATCTCATGTATCGATAATTCATACCTTTCGGGATTCAAGATATTTCAAGATGTCTATCTTAGCCAGTTTTTGTGCCAGGGATGCTCATCAGCAACAAGAGCTTCCGCGGCAGCATGGGTGAAATGCCCGTGCACATCGCTGCGGCCCCTTGGAGTTGACCGGAGTTGACCTGAACGTTCAGGGGGAGGACGCAGACGTCTTGTTTTTGTTTTTGGTATGTAGTAGCTTGGTAGTACATGTATATATGATTATAATTGATATATATATATATATGATAATTTTAACATACATATATATTATTATTATATATATATATATTATTATTATATATATATATATATTATTATTATATATATAATAATAATAGTAAATAATAATAATAATAATAATATATATATATTATTATTATATATAATAATATATATATATATATATATTAATAATATATATATATAATAATATATATATAATAATATATATATAATATATATATATAATAATAATATATATATATATAATAATACATATATATATAGTAATTTTGATATACATATATATATATATTATGTACATGATCTACTGTACTGTATCAGATTTTGCGTGTTCAATCAAGAAAGGGCACAACTTACCCAGGGTTTCCACTGCGAATGGTGAATCCGATGTGTGCCCTTCATAATCATGTATTGTACGTACATGATCGTACATGTACATGTGCTTTGCGCCGCGTCCAAGTAAGATGATCTCACTGGTGGTTCTGGGCAATACACATGGTCCAGATTTTGGCATCGCAACATGCAGCTATTGGTCAAATCCCAAATTGCTTGCAGTCTCCACTCATTATCCCAAAATTGCGAACAGAGGACATCAAAAAGGGCATCCACTCATTTGGATTCCCAGTGTTCCTTTAAATCCACCCAGTGAAGCTGGGACACAACGACTCCCAGACTGTGCTGTCATGCCGAGGCATCGGGTAACGTCGAGGCACTTCGAACCTGTCTCGATCTGAAAGCGGATCCGAACACCGAAGATGTGCCACGGTCGCAGGGCGGTCAGAGGGTGGTGAGATGGGACCAGTCGTTTCATGTCGTTTCATGTCATGATTTTCATGGTGTTTGATTAATGTTTCATGTGTATCCTTGCCTGTATTCTTTTGAACAGGTCATGGTTATGTCATGTTGGGATTCCCTCTGCGCTGTGGCGAGACCATGCGAGAGCGGCCACTGCACTACGCTGCGCTTGCCGGCAGTGCGCCTGCTGTACAGGTGCTGGGTGGGGTTGATTTTGGTATGTTTTCATATCTAACCAGACGTATCCAATATGGATGGTACCAAAGAGAAATTCGAATTTTGAGTGATTTCTATGAGTGAAACTTAGGTACCCCAAGAATTGGCTCAGTTTAAACGACTCATTCCTGTTTTGTTGCGCATTCTTACGAAATATTAAATATTGATATATTATGTATCCAACTGACGTTCATTTTTTGGGGTGAATCCACTTTACAGGCCTTTCCGTATGTTTCCCAGGTGGTTGAAACCACGGGAAGATGCTCCCGATTCCCGAGCAAGCTCTACTGGCCGCACCCCCACGACCAGCTGGATATGGCATGGAACATGTTGAACCAACATGAGCCAACCAAATTCAGATGGTAAACTGGGTGCAAAAATCCAAATTTCTGATATTTACATCCCCAGTGTTCACAGCATATATATATATATATATTTATTCTTAAAATATAATATACCTCTATATAATGTATATATAATATACATATATATATATACTATAATATATACAGTATATAATATGATATAATATAATATAATATGATATAATATAATTCAATACAATATAATGTGATATATATATATAATACAATATAATACAATATAATATAGTATAATATAATATAATATAGTATAATATAACATAATATAATATAATATAATAGAATAGAATAGAATAGATTATAATATACTATATAATATAATATAATATAATATAATATAATATAGTATAATATAACATAATATAATATAACAAAACATAATATATAATATAATATATAATATAATATAGAATATATAATATGATATAATATAGAATATATAATATATAATATCATATAATATAATATAATATATAATATATAATATATAATATAATATATAATATATAATATAATATATAATATAATATAATATAATATATAATATAATATAATATATAATATAATATATAATATAATTTAATACAATACAATACAATATAATATAGCACAATATAATTTAATATAGTATATAATATAATTATATACATATATATATATATATTCAACAGGTGGCAAAGTGCCACCTTGACCATCCCAGCATCCTGCAGGTCCTTTTGCGAGCCAATGCAGACCCAACTGTTCGTTCTGCCTTTCTGGCGCCTCGCTGTGATGGGGCTTTCCCAAAGACCAATGGAATTCCCTAAGATGACTGATGAATTGGATGATTAAAAGTGGACCCCCTCATTTTGGGAGACCACCAAATTAGTTTCTTTGGACAACACAAGTGGGATTTGCTTCACAACAACATAACATAGATTTAGGACAATTTAAGTGGATAAACTTACTGGAGAATAGTGGGTACAAGTGTCTTCATGGGATAGACTGTGGCCAGCCATTGCCAAGGGCAGACTGCTGATCCATGCCTGTTACCCCACGAAATCACACGCAAGATCAGCATTGGCGACCCTCCGAGATCTTGTCAATGCCAACAGCTGGCGCTGGATGCAATTTCTATCTGTGGTTGGTGCATTCACATCGCCATGTATACCTATTTTACATTATTGATATATATATATATGTTTACTGTACATATATCGTCATGTATCTATCGCATGTACACGCATACACACGCATTCCCTCGTTTGTTCCTGTTGATAGGTTGTTTCATGATTGTTAGACCTCATATGCCCATGGATCTCATGGTTTTTCTTGGCCCCGTTGGAAACTCAATGTCTTAGCAACTCAGCTATGGGTACTGCATGGTACAGCCCTGGAAATGAATCATAGCCTCCATGATTTCCAGAGCCCAAAGTGCTAAGGAAACACCACTGGATGTGGCGAGGGAGAACGCCGCAGCGTATTTGAATGTAAACACAGTGGCTTGGACGAAGAAATGCATGATGGTTTGTCCCTAAAGAGGTGTGCTTTTGCGATATACCTCAACAATCCTCAACAGTTAATCAATACCCGGTCGGTCCAAGTGCTTGCTAAACTAGGCCTTCCCATTCTTGAAAAATCGAGGGCGCACCTTCGAAATTGGCAAAAATAGTGACACCGTGAAAAAAACACGTGAAAAGGCCATGAAAAACCAGTGAAAACGCCGTGAAAAGGCAATGAAAAAGCTGCAAAATCAGTTTGAGCGGAAAGGACATGTTTTTTTTGATTTTGCGACAACAAAATTCCCATCAGTGCTCCCGCTGTATGAGACCGCTGCTGGTCTTACAGTGTGGACATGTTGAATCTTGTCAAGATATGAGTTTTTTGAGGCCTTTAGTCATTTAGGCCTTTACTCAAACCGTCTCGTTAAACTTGTCATTTGGACTGACTTGGATATATAATTATTGATAATTATGTCGTGTCAATAGAACAAATGTTCGGTGATTTCTTAAAATTGTGGGACATCACTTTCAAATTGAACTACTGTACTTTTGGTGTAATTTGCGGCAATATTACATGTGCCAAAAAAAGAACAATTACAGCAAGTGAACAGGCTATTTTCATGTTGGAGGTTCGTTTGTTTGTTTATTTGTTTTGTTTGTTGGTTTGTCTGTTTGCTTGGTCGTCCACTCACACAAAACTGCGTTTCGATTGATTCCTGAAGGGGTTATGTCGGCAATCTTGCTCCGTCACATCTCAAAGATTCATTGGGTTTGATCTGGCTTTGCGCATAGCGCACCTTGACAAAGGAAAGGATCACTGCTGTTTGTTTCGGGTATTCATATGTGGTGGTAAATCTGACAGCTTCAATACCAGTTGCAACTAGTTGCACAACGTGGGTAAAGATCTTTATGGCATTCCAAGCGTTTTTTCAATCGGCTACGGGTATGAAAAAATATTAATAAATATTAATAATACAACTGGACACCCATAGATAGTACAAATAATCAAAAGGTATACTCTCAACGTGGCAATTTCACGAGATGCATCCAGTCGATGTCAAACACTTGGAAGATCATCCCACTTACCCCAGTCAATACCCATTATACCTCTAGCTTCCATCTAATATCCCATGAATATCCAGTGAATATCCCATGAATATCCCAATATATAAATCCCCACGTCCAATGTTAAGTCACCAAATCATGTCAGTTAAGAACCATATGATTGATTTGTGTAAACAGTTTATATCCCATCCTATCCTCATGAAATCTCATTGCTGTGTATCACCATATTTTCTTGGCTGTATGTTACATCCAAATCAGTAATCATAATGTATATACACATATTATATATATACATGTGCATACATCCCATTATTATCATCATTACCATCCCGCTATGTTCCATGCTATACTCATACATTCTTTAATAGATAATTTGCGACACCACATCCTATGTATTCCCAGTGTATTCTCAGTATATTCCCATAGAATACCTATTAAACAATGTATATATATATATATATGATCGATATCATCAATATAATCAATATCAACATCAATATCATCATCAATATCATCATCAATATCATCCATATAATCAATATCATTAATGTCATCAACATCACCAATATATCACATATGATCATCTTTAAACTCCCACTATATTCCCAGTATTTTTCTGGTATATTCCCACTATATGCTATATCATTCCCGTCTAATGGCTAATGCAGAATATCATCACTATCATCAATGAAATCAATTTCATCAATACAACCATATATAGTCAATGACATCAATACCATCAACTGAATCAACTATTCATCAATATATATTTCCCACATGTCATTCCCACATAGATATCCCACATTGATGGCTAAAATCCCATTAAATTCCCACTATGATCCCCATAGCATTCCCGCGTAAATGGCGAAATACGCATTAAAAACCCATTGTGATCCAGTATAATCTTATCAAATTCCCAACAAAAACACAAAAAACAATCCCAGGATATTTCCTATCCCCGTCTGGTGGTCCTGGCTGAAAAGGGGGGAGCTCTACCTCAAAAATTTAGCTAGCTGCAACTGTTACCTGACACTTGTACCCATGGTTTTCAGCCAAGCCCCAGATAACATCATTTCTGAGAAATAGAGTTTCAGGATGCAGTTGAGCATGTGTTCATGTTACCTTGGCTCCACAGTTTTCAGCCACAGCTCTACTCGATTCCATACATTTCTATGCTGACCTCAGATCCATAGTTTTCATCCAACAACATTGGGAAAACAGACACATCAACCAAGAGGTGAATCCCAAGTTTCCAGCCATTGCGCAATAAATCCTAGGGCCTAGGGTTTGAGACTTTGCAGTGGTCAGGTCATTGGATTCCTGAAAAGTCAGCGTGGGAGAAAATAATTGTTTTACAATGACCTTGTTGAGACAAACCATCAACAAGACAAATCGTTTCACAATGGACTTGTTGAGTTGAAATCCTGGAAATGTGCTTCGCGCCACAACGGCGTACACTTTTTCGACATCTCAACTCCCAAAAGTGGTCCCCACCTGGTGTGTTTTGTGCATTTTGCCTTGCAAATGTGCTTCGCGCCACAACGGCGTGCACTTTTTCGACATCTCACATGCAACATGTTAGGACTGGTTTTCATGATGATATTTTATGATGGGAATTTTGATCAGACCTAAGGATCTAATCCTCCACTGCAACGTGTAAGAAGTGGGAACCATGATGAGATTTTATGCGGAATTATTTTTGATGGTCACACCCAAGGATTTTATCCATCAATTAATGTAATGATGATGATGATGAGATCAAGAATACCGAGAAAAGACTGACCGTAGTCCCAAGAATTTTATCCATCAATTAATGTAATGATGATGCTGAGATCAAGACTGCCGAGATAAGACTTACCGTAGTCCCAAGGATTTTATCCATCAATTGATGAAATGATGATGATGAGATCAAGAATGCCGAGATAAGACTTACCGTAGTCCTAAGGATTTTATCCATCAATTAATGTAATGATGATGATGAGATCAAGAATACCGAGATAAGACTTACCGTACTCCTAAGGATTTTATCCATCAATTGATGAAATGATGATGATGAGATCAAGAATACCGAGATAAGACTTACCGTACTCCTAAGGATTTTATCCATCAATTAATGTAATGATGATGATGAGATCAAGAATACCGAGATAAGACTGACCGTAGTCCTAAGGATTTTATCCATCAATTAATGTAATGATGATGAGATCAAGACTGCCGAGATAAGACTTACCGTAGTCCTAAGGATTTTATCCATCAATTAATGTAATGACGACGATGATGAGATCAAGACTGCCGAGATAAGACTTACCGTAGTCCCAAGGATTTTATCCATCAATTAATGTAATGATGATGCTGAGATCAAGAATACCGAGAAAAGACTTACCGTAGTCCCAAGGATTTTATCCATCAATTGATGAAATGATGATGATGAGATCAAGACTGCCGAGATAAGTCTTACCGTAGTCCTAAGGATTTTACCCATGAATTAATGTAATGATGATGATGAGATCAGGAATACCGAGATAAGACTGACCGTAGTCCCAAGGATTTTATCATCGTAAAAAATTGGTGTTCCGGGGAGGTTCAACAGCATGTGAAAGATTCAACAGGATGTGCGTGTGTTGGCCTGCATCTCAGGTGCCTATGATTTCAGCCACTTGAAACATGTAAGTTGTAAGATGCAAGGTAACCTCACATCCCCTAGTTTTCAGCCACGGGAATGTACTAGTACTTTTCCTACTTTGGCTATATTTTTGGGGTTGGGGTCATGTTTCCAGCCCATGGCTTTCAGTCTTGGTACCTACCCTTTCAGCCAGCATATTGGCTGGAATGGGGGCTGTAGACCCTAAGAGTTCCATCCATCGGGGGTATTTCCTACATTTTCCCACATTTCCCACAAAACACCAAACAAATCCCAGGATATTTCCAGATATTTCCTACACAAAATTGTGGTCATTTTCCCACATTTTCCATCATTTTCCCACAAGAAAATGGTAAATAAATGGCGAATAAAATGGGTTATAAATCTTAGTCAGGAGAAGATCATCCAGCTGCTGGGCAGTGCCGAAGCCTTGGAGCGGGACCTGGCACAGGTGCTGCCGGTGAAGGAGGCGGGGGAGAGGGAAGTTTCTGGGGAAATTGGGAGATCTTTTGGGGATTTTTTAGGGATTTTTTGGGGAGATTCTAGATTTTTGGTGGATGTTTGGCAGGATTTACTGTAACATGATGGGATTTTAGCATGGTCAACAACGGGCGAAAACGGGGATCTAAGATGGTTTGAGCAAGAAAGATGGGGAGTAAAAGCTAATTCACACCCCAAACATGAGAACTTCACCCGCAATAGCTTGGGATCACCATGGAATTTGGAGGAACCACTAATTTTGGAGGTACCTGGAAGAGGATTTTCCAAGATATTTTTGCCAGATTGGCCATGGGGATGAGAAATTTTGATTGGAATCCACCATCGGGCCATCGGGGCTTGGTGGACGGATTTAAGTTGGAGAAGATATTTGATGATATTTGAACATGGAAAGTGAATGGCAATTGGTTGCGCATGATTTTTTTCTGCACTGTATGGCCATTAGCAACGACAATGTCATTTTACCATTTGGGACATTTCTATACGAATCAAACCCGCTTCTAGTGGTGTGCATTTGTATATATATATAGATACACATGTGTGATCCAATTTGTATAAATAACACATAGTATAGTCCAGTCAAAAGCTTGATATAAAAACGTATATATATATGGTGATCGATCTAAAGGTCCTTGTAAGGAGTTTTAATTGCGAAAGCCGTGCGTGTTATGTTGGAAACCCTCGCGAAAGTTTTTTTTCCGAGTTCGCGAAAGTAAAATTTTATTTCGCGAAAGTTTCGCGAAAGTTGGGTATTATAATCATTATATGTAAAGGGCAGCCACCCACTGCCGCCCGGGGTCCGGCAGGAGAAGGGCACCAGAGAATGCGAGTAGCAGTAGCCAAGTTTCCAAAAGTGAGGCTTTGCGAGAGCCAAACACCAAGGCCCCTGGTCTTCGCTTTTCCTTCAGTGCACCCCCTGGTGGTGGCCGGGGTCTATGAATAGGGATATTTTCGCGAAAGTTCCGCGAAAGTTATGCGAAAGAGCGGGCGAAAGTCAAAGTGCATGTTGAAGGGGGTGGGCCAGTAAACTTTGCACAAAAGAATCTGTCCTGAGAAGGGATTCCGTGATGCTAGCTGCATGTTTAAAAGGCTACCAAGAAGTGATCCGTGATTCTCTGGCGTAATTTGGCAGGTGGTGAACGAATCTTCATAAGAGGTGTTGTTGGCCAACATGGGCCCCGCGAAAGATAAACATGGAGTTCGCGAAAGTTTCGCGAAAGTAAAATTTTTATTCGCGAAGAATGGCCGTTCTGGGATAAAGGAATTTTGATCAACAACCATATATATTACACATACAGTGTTTTATAACATTGTCATTGATTTCACAGAAGTTGTCATCATTTCACAAGCGCGCCAATAACATGTGTTTCACTGCTGCTCTTAACATAGTTATACCTATGTAAATAAATATAATGTATATATAGTATATAATATATAAAGCATATGATATGTAATATGTAATGTACAATATGCTATATCGCATTTGTATATATATATATATACACATTATACATTTTGTATTGTATATATTCTATATCAGAAAAGGTATTACACTTAGCTGTATCACACACACATATACATATATATACATATATATACATATATATATACATATGTACATATATATATGTACATATACTATATAACATAAGACAAAACATGAAATCATGTGAACTTCTTGGCATTTTTGCGACTTACTGCTTCTTTATTTGTGAATCTCGGCTTCTTCATCCTGTAGGGAGCTCTGGAAGAGACTGCTTGCTTTTGGAGCATGTCGGAGGACGGTCACTGCAGTGAGGTTGTATAGCAACACCTACCATTTGGGATGGTCTTTACAACCCATTTATAGCAATATTTGGGGATGGTTTATGGCATTGGCTTTAACACAATGTTCAACCAACTGAATAGGGCCCAAGGGTCTTGAATGATAGTCAACCACAGCTGATATCAGCTGATCATTTGAGCGTTCATGTGGCCTTTTGTCAAAGGATGACTCAAAGTAAAAAGTCTCGACCAGGCCTGTGAATTCTCGCATCATGTGGCACCTTCCAAGTTTCAAAGAAAGATGACATCGTACAACATCATCACTAATCATCACTGTCGGCGTTCTTGCGCCTTTTGAAGATGCTGTTTCGCACAATGTTTTCACCTCATATTTGTAATCAAACTCTGTGATTTTAAGTTTCAAGCAGTTTTATTTTCAACCATACTTGGAAAGATGATGCCCAAGGACGAAGGACGACCTTTTTTCAGGGAGGTTCAATGCAGCCGGGCATAGGAGGGTTGGACCCAGACCAAATCACTTCGAAGCTTCGCAGCGACATTCGGAGCCACAGCGGCGACTCGACAAACTTGTAGCCAGGGTGTGACAGGTTGAACGGTTTTCAAACATATACCCTCTGGTAACTTAACATAGCCATGGAAAAGGCCCATTTATAGATGATTTACCTATCAAGCATGGTGATTTATGTTAATTTATCAAAGTTGACCAATTTTGGAACATTCTGGACTAGTAAGTTGAGAAGAATTGCTGCAAAACACAATCATTGGATTTTGATTTTCGGGATGATTCAAGACTGCCCTGTGATCCTTGGTAAGCAACATTTTTTCATTTGGGGATGGGTAAAAATTTGAGGTCCGGGATCACAGATTTTAGTATATAGATGTTTACAGTAGTATTGACCACCTTATTATCGGGGTTCCCAATTTTGATCTATATTATATTATATTTCATAGAAAAAACCTTCGCGCAGCAGAGGCCGGAAATTCTCCGACTGGTATCTGGAGCTCCGTGCACCAAGTCTTTCAGAAAATGTCTCGGGAGGTTTCTGAACTGAGACACGGGTGGCGTGGGCTGTGTTGGAATCACGTTGTTTTTAACGGTTTGGAGCAACGACATCCAGCAGAAATTTAGATTTAGTTTTTGTTGTTTATTTTGCGGGGAGTTAGCCAATAGATGTTGATTGGACGTGGGGAAGGATTACTGTCTCAGAGACTTGGGTGAACCCACTCCGCAGTTACCTGCTTTTGTACTGAAATTATGTGGTAGATCCAATGCCATAAACCTACCATTCGTGGATGATTTATACCGTTTATACCGTTCATACCACTTCTTGATGGTCATATTGGGGTTTCTGATTGGGGTAATACGGTATACCACTTACCACAGAAAAAAAAGGTGACTTTGCTGCCGTGAAGCTTGGTAAAATGCGAGGATGGGACGATGCCAACCTCTGACTTGATCGACTTGTGCCTTGGTACCAGCCCGGTGTTCCAGGCTGCTACGATCTGGATTTATTAGGAACTTGTTGAATGGGGACATTTCAGTTGAAAGTGGTTGAAGAGTTAAAATGAGTTTGTTATACTTCGTTGACCAATTTCAGAAACTTTAGGCTGATCCTGCGGAGGTTTCATGACTTGTATCTGGGGTCTAAACTCTGGTATCCTGCTTTCCACACCAAAATAGCTGCTAGTGATGAATATTCATCCTGCACTTTCAGCTGGTATGATATTCCTAGAAATTTCTGGTTCAATCCCCTGATTCATATGGTATGATGGGCTTCAAATGGCGTGGAGAATCTTTCCATACGTTATCCCGGATATCCCCTATCCCCATTTTTGTTGATGAAATATATTGAAATATGGCGTCGGTTTTGACTTTGAAACGGGACCCTTTGCTGGATGAATCCTCAGTTCCGTTATACATCTCCATTTTAGCATGTTCCTATCCCCATTTTTGCTGTTTGACTTCCCCATCTGTGTCGGTTAACTCCCGATTCTTATTGGTTTAATCATGTTTTATACAGTCGCATTTTTCTTGTTTGTTTTCTTAGAAGTTTAGTGGTGTTTTGTGTGAAAATTAGCTGTTTGATCAGTTTGATCCCCATTTTTCGGTCAGGCTGAGCCGGCTGTTGAACGAGGACGCGACAAGCTTGGTGCAAACCTTCGTGAAGGGCAAGGCGGGGCACGGCGGCTCGTAGGAGGTGAGCTAGAGGAAGATACATAAGTCTTGAATATACATATATAATGTATATATATATGTATATGTATATTATATATCTATTATGTATATACACCATTTACAATCATATGCACACTCATATGGCTAGTGGATGTTTATCCCCCAAAATATGATTATAGGTTTTGACCCATCCCCATATGTGTCATGGTCACAATTATGTGCATGATGCATGTTCTTATCGTATACAGTACCAACTCTTGGGGCGCTCTGATTGTTGGCCCCGGTCTTCTCTTGACCTTCACGATATTCAGTCACCATAGTTTCAAATGCAGTGACCCCACCACCAGAGTCCGGGGCTGTGTCATTATGGACCTCTGAGTTCATGCGAGAGTTTTTTCGTCACAAGATGGATTGTATACCCATATTGGTGGATGGCCATCAATTCAAAATCAGCAATCCATTTATAGTTTTTTTTAATATACATCATAAGGATTCTCATGAAATGGGATGGACGACCACAAACCATATACCCATGTTTGACGATGGCACATATAATGTTGTCTTGGTATTCGTAAACATATGGAGGTTTCCTAAACATACAGTATACATATGGAGGTTTCCTAGAATATTGCTACCCAAACCGTTGGTTTTCCCATTTCTAATAACCAATAATGAACCGTTGACCTTCCATGTGGGGATCGGTTTCACCCATCTATGATAAACCTATGGGGGGTGGTTTATGGCATTGGGTTTACCACATTACTCGTATACCTACATACAATTCCATAGAATTGATATATAATTATATATGCATACTTAGATGATTGGATGGATGGAAGGACGGACGGATGGATGGATATATTAGATAGGATATGATAGGGTATATTGTATGGATAGATACAAGTATTTGACAAGGCATAACCTTTCCAACTTCCCAAGATCTGTTTTGGCCATGTTGGATACCCAGGCCGGACTCATGGTCATATGGCATGGTTGTATGGTCGTATTATTCTTCAGATTGGATGCGAATGCATCCATAATGTATATGTATATGTATGTGTATGTGTATGTGTATGTGTATGTATATATATATATATAAATACACATTTATATACACAGACACACAAAGCAGGGCTGTTTAGTGCTTTGTTTTTTCAGGCAGCTTATCTCTATTGGCACTTCCCCCATAGCCAGTCTCAAACGTTCGGTTTCCACAGTCTTCCAATATATTTCATTGTCTTCACCCTACACTGGTGATCCCCGCAGATAAAAAGCCGTACGAGGATGGCTTGAAAACACCCAAGGAGTTTCATGTTTTCCTTGGGATCGACTGCAGGATGTACATATCAAGGACTTTTTGGATCTCATCGCCGCTGACCCAGTGAGGCTTAAGTACTCTTGGTGGAAGATTTTTATTGTAGTTGTGAGAGTTGCAATCATGCCTGTGCCACTTCATCCCAAAAAAAACCTCGGTTTGTGCATCCTCAACATGTGACCAGAAATAGATGACATGTTGCTGGCGGTTCACCGGTCCCTTTTTTTTGGGGTGTGTTTAGTCAACACACAGCGGCATGGTGTCCGATCCTCTACCCTTTGATTGGATTGGTATCCTTTGATAATTTCGCTAGTCTGAACCCCCGAATTTCATCCAAATATTCTCATCCCACTTGTGGTAGTGTAGGACTGTAGGATAATGAAGTTCAAAAATCCATGGATCCAATATTCGTCGTACTTGCCAAGGCCGGTGACCCTTAGGCGGCGGAGGGATGGGTTCCCTCTCTACGCAGGTAGCTTGGGGTTTTCAGAGATGTTTCATGATTTGGGTTCTGGTGAAAATCAAAAAAAAATAATGGAAAACACATGTCAAAATCTATTTGATATCATCTGTCTACCCAAGATTTTGGTGTTCAGGCATTCTCATTTGGATTGTCCACAGCAAGCAGCAACAGTGGACAACGCAGATTTAATCTAGTAGAAATCCTTCAAAAGAGTGATCGTCCTGGTTTTGAGTCTTGCTGGGGTTGGTAGTTAGAAACTCAACTACCAACCCTTCTTGAGTTTTTCTTGGATTTTCCCCTGGGTGTTTTTTTGAATCCCTCGGATGATCCCAGTGGCCTATTTTTCTAATCTCTGGCAGGTTGAAAGCAACACACGCACACATTAAAAGGCAAAATGATTTTCTTCATATCATTCATCACTATCTATCTTCCAGAATTGGAGAACTGAAACCGGATACCACCATATCTATCTATATCCATCATGGTTTCTCCATACTTGGGGATAAAAACCCATGGTTTCAACCCTAGGATTCAGCCAGACCAGCCAGGCCATCCAAAACGGCTCGGCTCGCCGATTCCTGCGCAGATCATCCATGGCCGTGGCCAAATTTTGGATGGAAAAAGCACGGAAAAACATGAACAAAACATGAACAACCTTGCTGGTTGGTTGGTTTCAGAGTTTTTTGAATCTCACAAAATCAGACTGAGTCGTTGCGATTTGGACAAGAATCATGGTGATAGAACCACTCAATTGCTACGCAACCAAGCTATGAGAGTGGGACCAATAGAGGTGGGGACAAATAGCCAACAAAGATGGGGCATGATAGGATAAAAGGTCTGACATGGTCTGATGGTTTGGGTTGTCCACTTTGGCTGACGTATGGAGGTCGAAGTTGGGATGCGGGCTGGTAGGATAGACTGCCTTTTGGATGGTGACAACCAATCTCCAATAAATCCTGGTATAAGGAGTGCACCCTCCAGATTCAACCGTTTTGACCATAGCACATAATCATGCTGCTTGCCACCCGAACGCCATTTAACGCTGCCCCCCGATTCACATGTTCTGAATGATATCATGATGATCTGTGCAGTGGTGCGTGTGTGTTTTTCCCATTTTTTCCCCGTGCAGACAACGGACGGTGAAACCACTGGTTTACCTCGTTGTAGCGTGGCAGCCGGGGCAATGTGATGCATTTCCCATGGTCTGGCCCTTGGCCCCTTGGACCTTGGCCCCTTGGCCCCTTGGCCCCGGCTCAGTCATCACAAAAACGTGCGCAGCAGGACATCCAAGATGCTCCTGCAGCGACGTGGATTGCTTAATGGACAGGTTTCAAAAAGGTAGAGCCAAAGACTGGAATAACCATCTTGCCCGCCATAGATGTCGGTTTCCACTATAATCATCATGATCATGATCATGATGATGATGATGAGGATGACGATGACGATGACGATGACGACGATGACAGTGACGATGACGATGATGAGACAACAGGTGGTGGCTGCGGTGTTTTGTGTTCCACGCCCACCATCAAGACGGTCTTCTTGGCAGCCGGAATTGGGGATTGCCACCTACTGTAGATTTTTCCTTCGCGACATTCAGCGTCTTGCTCCTCAGCACTATCCTGCAGGTCGCTCCCCAAACTGGAGAAAGACATGCAGGACACAGCTTTGACGGGGCAAACGATGTCTCAGCTTTGTAGAGTAAGAAAGATGATGATTCTTGACCTAGTTTTTCATTTTACTGTTTTCTCATGTTTTCTCGAGTTGGTTGACTGGTTTTCTCGAGTTGGTTCAGAAATCCGATGAAACTATTTGACCGATTTTCTCCTTCACATCGTTTCGCTCAGTAGTAGAAAAATGTAGAACATTGCGACCACGACTTTGTTTTCCTACCGATACCCACAGCGTGATTCTTCAACCATCATATCAATTCCATTTGCTTGATATGTTTGGTATACCAGTCACCCCACAAACAGTTATTGAATCTTCAGTTTCCATAGCATCTCATTGGAACCTGGTGATGATCGAAATCTAGGTCTTGACCTTTCGCGTTCAGGAAAGGCAAGCTCGAGCCCACGAGCGAAATGCCACGGATTTCTTGCGCTTCGTGGTGATGTCAGGATCGGCGACCAGATGTTGGTCATGTTTAGTGTGATAAAACCATCCAATTTTATCCAATTTTAAGGGTACCCAATTTTGACCCATGCCCATACACATGCAGTATGATATACTTTCGGAATCTTTCAGATCTATAGTTTTTAAAGAGATTTATATACATATCATGTATAACATCATTTAAAGAGTTATATACTAGTTTCTATTTGTGTATCATTATATATATATATATTATATCATTATATAGATAGGTGTGGGTATAGGCAGCTTGATTACCCACCAAGTATGAAGAACTTCACAGAGCAAACAGTTGGTCATTGGTAGGGACCCATGGATTTTGAAAGGGGGCATACTGGAAGAGTCCAACTGATGTCGCATTGATTCAGGAAAACGTCTTTGTCACAAGTAAATATGTAGGAATATGTTTGAGAATATGATGTTTACTGATGTTTACTTTGTTTTGGAATCATCGTAGTTGTCTTCCTCATCTCTCTTTGACTTCTTTTGAACACATCTTCCACCAGCGCACTCCCATTCGCAGTGGCTTTCCGCAGGAGCTGCATGTGAGGCGGAGAAATAAGCCGCAAAGAGTAGACTTCCGAGGTCAACTGAAACTCAGACAGTTCAACTGAAATCTCTCAGTATTTTATGCAGATGGAAAAACCGATGGTGGAATCTCCTGGAAAAGCAGGTGATTCGGGGGCCAACACCTTTGATGTCATGGATCTTTCAAGCACGGGTTTAACAAGAAGTAAGACGGCATCAAAAACATCAATCGCTCGGTGTTGCTTTTGCACCGTTGGAATTCCTGCAAACGTTTCCAAATTGTAAGAACGGGATCATCTGTTGCCCAGCAGAAAACAACGAATCAAGCATCCTCGCACCACCCATCACTAGAGACCCAAAGCATACCAATGAGTTGTCTAAATTGAGACCATCAAACCTGCAGAGGTTGATCTCATTGGCTTAACATTCGCTTAAGAAATTCACATGAAACCACATCCCCCATAATTGGATGAGAATTGGGGCATTTTCTTTGCAACGCATCAAAATTGTTGTGGCAGATCACTTTTTTCCATCTACAGACTGTACGTCCTATCCTTCGGAGGTTTCTGAGACAAAGTATTAGCTCGGTGAAGTGACAAATGTACAGATTGCACGACTTCGCCACAAAAAGAGACCCCAAATGCATGCAGAATTGACCTCTGCAAGACTCTCAAAAAGGCGCCGTGCTAACAGAGACCAACAGGGCTTTTTAAGGGAAGCTCTATACATCGAAATACCTACAGTAAATACTGTAAATACATATGAAATATAAATACTATACTGTTTATATCTGTTTATGAACAATGGTCCAGACTCCAGACTGTGAGCGTTTCTCCATGGTGACGGATTATAGCTTGACCATCCTATGTTTGAAGTTTTTGACTGTGGCATACAGTGTCACTAGATGGAGAATCTGAACGGGTGTTTCATGGTGGAACACCAAGAATTCTTTGGAAACACATGTTTTTTGGATTTTTTTGGGTTCCCAATTCTCAGTATCAGAAACGCCAAACCTAGATACAAGTTCGGCAATCTCTAGAGGATTCCCCCGAGTCAGTCGTGTCAGTTCAGAGCAAAGTTGGCTCAAGATTTGATAGCGTAGTAGAGAACTGCAGGGCAAACCCACCTGCTCTATGTACATTAGACTGTGAGACTCTTTGCCACTTGCTTGCAGACAGAAAGAACAGTGGGATCACTTGGGAAGGATAGGCACCAACATCCTGCAAGCTTGGGCTTACGTGCTCATCATTGGGTCACCGTGCTCAAGGCAACTCATCAGTTTTGCAGTTTCAGGTATGTTCAAAACAGCCCAGTTTGGCATGCTGCCCACCATGCTTGGTTCAAGACTTAGACACACTGTGTGTGTGACTATGTATATAAAAATGCGGATTTTCTATATTATGTATATACAGTTATATACATGTAGTTATATACACATACTATGTATCTGTGGTGGTTTCTCTTAAGGGTGGTTCGATGCCTCCCCAAAATCCTGGACACCAGCTACATGGGCTATTTCCAGGACGATATGGCGGAAAAGGAGCCAGGCTGGGCTGGGCCCCTGCAATGAGGCTTAGTCTATGTCAGTCTTGGAAGCATCCGAAAAATGGTGAACTTTTCATAACTTTTCTAGTCATGAGAAATCACCAGCAAAGGTGAGGATTGCAGAACAAAAATGTGGAGATCTAGCCAACATGCTTAGCACGCAACGATGAAACGATGCAAGTTCAGCACCAAGGGTAGGGGATTTCACCATCTGTGATGAGCCCTCACGCTGGAAGATGCATAAATCGGATGCAGGGAATGTACACAGTACCCCCATTTCCAACGGCAAAAACCAGGTGTGGACAGTTTGCCCAGTCTGCGATCAGTGAAGTTCCCCAGCCCATTTGCTATTTATTGGGGGGAAGCCTGCGTGATCTCAGCGTCCAGGTCCAGGTGTGATGTACCGTGGGGCGAGGTACAATCTAGGGCAGGAAGGACAGGGCGATGCAGCCAGGATGGTCTCCCCAGTGGAACACAGAGAACCACCAGAAAAATCCTGTGGTCTCAAGATCAGACGAGATCAAAGTGATCTTTGAGAATGCTTTGAATGCATCATAATGCATCCACTGCAGCTTTATACTGCGAGTTCTGCTTCAATGTCAAGAGAGTGCAATAGGTTCTCAACTGTGTGAACCTGAAAAAAGCAACAACATCTTAAAACTATTCAAAGCTTTCTATCATTTTCTATACAATTTTCAGGTGCAACTACTTCAATAATTTTCTCCCAGGGTCCCAAAGTGCAAGGACAATATGGCAGTATGGGCGGCTATGACATCGAGGGCACCAGGCGCCATCAATGCCTTCCGAAGGATAGCATGGACACAGAACAGCAAGCCCCAAAATAGATCTTTGATAGGTTATAACTGGTTATAGCAGTTATAACTGGAGTATACAGTATAACTAATAACCCCAGTAAACCATCCAATTTTGGATTACCCTCACTTTAAGAAACCTCCATATTTTGGGTGTTCTCGCTGTCCCAGGCCTCCGAGCGACAAGAGCTTGCTGAGAGGAGCCATGAAACCACCAGAGTATGATGAGGCGGAGAATGCACTGATGGGGGGATTTCTCATCAAATATAGATGAGTATGTATGTATATATATATATATTATAATACATACATATATACATCATATTATATATATATATGATTACATATATATAATTATATAGACTCTAGACACATTCTTACTGATTCTTCTTCTTTCCTATATCATTAATGTATACATATCTATTCATATGATATACGAATGGCCGACACTGAGGTAAAAAAAGGGGGCTATGGACGACCACTTCTGGTGAATGGTAAGCACAATATAGCTTCAATTGGGGATGGCTGTTCAGCAGCTATTTCTGGAAAAATATGAAAACATGTTTATTATTGAGTTTATCGACATGAACGTTCTTTATCTCAGGCAGCAACTCCAGCTTAATGTGTGCCCTGATGAAAGTTCTCATGTCCAACCGAGAATTGTTTGCGAACTTGGGTTTTGAGAGCGTAAGTAGGCCTTGATATCAGGGTACATGTGTTTTGCCAATCCCCTAACTCCTAGCCACCATAGCCACAGCTCCAGTAGGTGGTTTTCAAAGCCCAGCAATCACTGGCACTTGGCCAACTACCCGAGGTAACTTCTGAGAAAAAGGAACCAGGAAGTCTCTATACTAAGATGCTCAAATGCATCATAGATTTTCTGCAGAGGCTCCAAAACATCATTACATACATAATTACATGCATGATTATATACATCATTATACACTGTACATTGTCAGATAAATCGTCATATCTTGCAGAATGTTCTCAAAGAATGAGTATAAATTAGAAACAGCAAGCTCCGGGCTGTTCCCCTGCGAGGCCAGTCAGGTGAACATGTGCGCCCAGGGGCCCGGTTCTTTTTAAAGCCGTTGCGGCAGTGCACCACCTTGGATTGGATGGTTGAAACCCATCCTAAATAATGTGGTTAGAACAACAATGAACCACCCATGACTGGGAATGTTAAACATACCACCTATAAAAATGGTGATGACTGGAGGATGGTTTATTATTGTTTTACCCACATTAATGATAATAATGGGATATACATGGATATACCACCTATCAACTGGTGCAGGAGTTCGCAACCATCCACAGTATGTATGTTATACAGATGTATTTCTCCCTTGTCCCTCCGCTGTTGCGGTGCCGCTTTTTTTTGCTCAGGAACTGGTCCTGCTCCCATGGTTTCTCTTGGCCACTCGGTGGTCAATGCATGGGGAATCATGGGGCTATAGTAACCCCCAAAAAGATAGAAGTTTGTAAATTCCCACTGCAAAATAACAATAAATTACCAGTAGTACCGCACAAGGCGGTGGCGGCAGTTTCAAAAATAGGAAACCTATAGGAGAGGTTGATTGTTGTGAATCACGGATGGCAGAGTGATTCCACTGATGGACTGAAAGGTGGTTGGAGTTGTGTTTTTTGAAGTGGTTACAATGGTTGCAGTGGTCACCTGGTCGGTCACCTCACCCACAACTGCTGGATGTAGTGTGGTGTAGTGCAGCTGTAGTTGTAGCGTAGTGGAGTTGGAGTTGTAGTTGTGGTGTAGTGTAGTTAATGCAGTGTAGGTGCAGTTTCATTTGTGGTGGTTTAATGAGTGTAGTGTAATGTAATGTAGGGTATTGTAGTATAGTGTAGTCTAGTGTAGTGTAGTGTAACATAGCATAGTTGTAGTTGTAGCTGTAGTTGTAGTTGGTGTAGTGCAGTGCAGTGTAGTGGAGTGTGGTGTGGTGTAGTGTGGTGTAGCGTGGTGTAGTGGAGTGTAGTGTAGTCTAGTTGTAGTTGTAGTTGTAGTTGTAGTTGCAGTTGCAGTTGTAGATGTAGTTAGTGTAGTGTAGTGTAGTGGAGTGGAATGTAGTGTTATGTAGTGTAGTGTAGTGTCATGTAGTGTAGTTGTAGCTGTAGTTGTAGCTGTAGTTGTAGCTGTAGTGTAGCGTAGAGTAGCGTAGAGTAGTGTAATTGAGATTTGTGTACTGTAGTGTAATTTGTGTAGTGTAGCGTAATGTAGTTGTAGTTGCAGTTGTAGTTGTAGTTGGTGTAGTGTAGTGGAATGGAGTGGAGTGGAGTGTAGTGTAGTGTTATGTAGTGGAGTGTAGTGTCATGTAGTGTAGTTGTAGCTGTAGTTGTAGCTGTATTTGTAGCTGTAGTTGTAGCTGTAGTGTAGTGTAGAGTAGTGTAGAGTAGTGTAGAGTAGTGTAATTGAGTGTAGTGTAGTGTAGTGTATTGTAGTGGAGTTGAGTGTAGTGTAGTGGAATTAGGGTAGTGTAGCGTAATGTAGTTGTAGTTGCAGTTGCAGTTGTAGTTGTAGTTAGTGTAGTGTAGTGTAGTGGAAAGGAGTGGAGTGGAGTGGAGTGGAGTGTAGTGTTATGTAGTGTAGTGTAGTGTCATGTAGTGTAGTTGTAGCTGTAGTTGTAGCTGTATTTGTAGCTGTAGTTGTAGCTGTAGCGTAGTGTAGAGTAGTGTAGTTGAGTTCAGTGCAGTGTAGTGTAGTGTAGTGGAGCGTAGTGTAGTGTTATGTAGCTGTAGTTGTAGCTGTAGTTGTAGCTGTATTTGTAGCTGTAGTTGTAGTTAGTGTAGTGTAGTGTAATGTAGCTGTATTTGTAGTTGTAGTTGTAGTTGTAATTAGTGTCGCGTTGTGTAGTGTAGTGTAATGTAGTGTAGTGTAACGGCGTGCACTTTTTTGACATCTCAACTTCCAAAAGTCGTCCGAACATGAGGTGTTTTGTACATTTTGACTTCCAAATGTGCTTCGCGCCACCCTGTCGTGCAACTTTTCATCTCTCATCTGGCACCCGCTTTAGCGAGCCTACTTGTCGACCCTCCGGAGCCACAAACCATTGGAAAAACACAGTGTTTCGCGACTTTCCTACCTTTTCGCGCACCTGCATCTTCTTTCTTCTGTCTCTTTCTCTTCTCTGATCTTCTCTCTTCTGTTCTTCTCTTCTCTGACTCTTCCCACCTCTGCTTTTCCATCTGTCCATATTACCATATTGTCGGAAGTTTGACTTCTAAACTTCCTTCGATGATGAATTACTGTTCTATGTTTTTTTTCCGGGTGATATGTATATATATATATATATCTTATAATATGTATACGTATAGTTATATATATGTGTGTGTAGGTCTGGAAATGGGGTATACCCCTCAAATGACCAGTTTCGTGGAGACAATGGTGACGAACCGCTATTACATATGGGGATATATATATATATAATGGGTATATATATATATGAGTTGAACTGGTTTGATATGAAAATCATATATATATATAAATGGGATTTCACATTGTTTAACCATCCTGAAAAGTTTTTGTGGTTGAGTCGAAATATCATGAACACGGTGAAAACATGATGTTTCATTATGGTGGTCATGGTATCTTTAAACATCTTGACCTAGATCCAACATGACCCAAATCTGTTTGATGTCCTGTGCCTGCTTCAGGGGTGATTATCCAATTTGGGTATATTTTGCAGGCATCCTGGCGGAGTTGGGGATATATTTGCCGTTATGTATCCATATGGTTGGAGTAACTATCCCAATAACTGGTTGTTGAGATAAATGAATTAAAAAGAACACTCTAAATCCTAATATTTTTTTCAGAACATATGAAAAAATTCTCAAAAGCACTATTGGAAATTCCAACTTTTTTGAATGTGAAATCTTCATCTCCTCGTGCCCATTGGTCTCTGGTCCTAAGCCAAAATCTAAACGCTCAGGCGTTGGTCATGCTGTGTTATTTGATCGCAGGTTCGTGTCTGGTGGGGTGTGATTTCACCGTATTGGGTCTAGAACCTAAGGGAAATTTCAGAGCAGGTCGTATCAGTGGCATTAACCGCAAACATACATACATATATGTATATATATATATACGGACATCATGTAATGGAATACTGTAGGATATAATGCCTTGGGGTGCAATATTGTATAGCGGAATGGATTGGAGTGGAGTGGAAGGTATGCATGTAGTTTATATAGTATTAATATATATATATATACACACACACACCAGACATTCAGCAGAGAATCAGGGTTTTCTTGGATGTCCCAGACATTCAGGGTTTCAGAAATCACTGTTGTTGAAGGTCCACGATCCATGTGTCCTAGGAGGATGTAAAAAATTGAAAGTCTTTGACATCTCAAGGATAGCTGGGTTTTGGACATATGAATTTCACAGCTCCATCCAAAAAACATGGAATGAACTTGACTGATAACAACATATTACATTATTATACCAGCATATCACAATATGGGAACATATGGGAACATCATCTTCCCCTATTTTTTCAATGTTCCGGCAATATGGGTTCCATCGTGGATTCGCTAGCGACCGCAGGAGCCAATGGACAAATCGCAGTGCTGTGGATCATGCCGTCCGTGGGGGATCCGGATGTCTTTGGAACCGCTGCAGCTGATTTCAGTTTTTAAACATCTTTAAACATGTGGAGTTTCCATAAATGGAGGTACCCCAATAGCTGGATGGTTTATGGAAATCCTAGTAAAATGGATGATTTGGAGGTACCCCTACTTCTAGGAAAGCTCCATTTGAATCACAACAATGCTGGTTTCCAATGATAATTTGTTGTTCTTTTTCAGATGGGGTCGAAACATGGTGAAACTATCAACCATCAGTGCCATACTCTAAATTATTAAATAATAATCTAGTCTCAAATTCTCCATCCAAGAGAATGTATGGTTGATGCATTTGACATTTGACTCCTCAGGGCTTGGAGTCTTGTGGGTCCTGTCAGCTGTCAGCAACTGAACTGAACTGATGTAGGGTTTGAATCTGTCAGCACCTGGCGTGCTTATGTAAAAGGATCTTTTGAAAGTGGCGGATCCCCAGACATCGAAGATCCTGGGTGCCACGGGCAACTTCCTCGCTCTGGAAATCGAGAGCTAGAAAGTCATCACCGATGGTAGATTCACTTGGTATTGGTCACTCCCCCAAAAACCAAATGCATAGAGAGACATTTCGATATCAAGAAGTGTAGAAACTGACATAAACAGTCCCCATTTCTCTCTCCAACAGTCCCCATTGGTCAAAGCCAAGCTGCTGACCATTCGGGTGAGGTCCTTTTGCTCATCATCACGTATTACATTGGTGGCCAGGCTGTTTTATGGCGGTCCCTTATGGAGTGTCTTTGTTGAATCAACAACAATCGGTGTATCGAAATACATTGGGACCTTGGGAATGAGCCAACCAACAAATAGTTGAATTGTGCATCCGTGGACGGACATAGCCCATCCTCCATAGATTCAGTGGATTTCCATTCGACCAAAATGCCAACTGTCACCGTGATTATCATATCCTTTTAGGATTGTAGGATTGACTCCCAAGCTCTCCTCTTTTAAGATCCTTTCATACTAGAACTTTGCAAAAGATCAACCTCGGTAATCTCTTCATCTGTTCTTCTTGATACATTGCAACTAATCATGTTTTGAGCGTTTTTTTTTCCAGAACTGACTTTGATGAATGGATGATCCTGGAAAGTGGCCAGCAACTAGCCAGATACAATTTTTGCTCGGAAACTCCCACCATGTACGCAAGAACACTTGTTTATATCAGGGGAAAATCAGAAGCAAACAGAAGAACCCAACAAAACCCTTAGATTTCCGGTATAATCTATAGATATTTGTAGTGTTTCCCTCAAGTCAATCCATTAAGAAAGTCATTGTGATTTTTCCCAGCCAACATCCCTGCAGCCCACGCCCGCTTCAGCCCAGGAACTAAGTACAGCTTGGGCGACAGCGACGAGGTGGTTCTGGGCTTCCTGCTGATGATGGCCGTGATCATCGGCACCGGTGTGGGCCTGTGCCTTGGCGGCACCATGCGCAGCCTTCCAAGCTACGTCAGTGTCATACATTCGCAGAGGGATGGTGAAGCGCCTTAGCATCGTTCTGGGACCATGGGATCTCCGCAGGTTTGGCAACTTCACAAGCCTCCAGGAACTTCATCGGATCAATCAGGGTCGGGGGGTAAGGGCTGGGAGGTGGAGAGGGATCGCACCTGGGAGCCACACATTGATTGATATTTGATTGATGAATTCGTACAATTCTTCATCTCCCAGTGTCATAGAACTCCTGCACAACTCTGGGTAGAATCGATGATTTCACTCAATCGCTGGGATGGTCAAGCCAAGTGCACCTCCCCAAACGTAGTGGGAACATGTGGGAACCGCTCCTGGCAGGTGCCAGCTACTTCAACGTGCTTCCTTCAGAGGTGCCATGACTGTCACCTCCATGGATGGGTAAAACGTTTACAGGAAACACCTTAGATTTCTGCGGGTAGAAGTAGAAACCATGCTTTTCTCTAGAAAAAACAATCCATTGAACTTCAGGTCGTTCTGCTTTGGTCCGATGCAAAACAGGATTTCTGTTGCAGATTTCACTGATTGAACTGATTGCACTGGGACGATCCGGGCGGAGCCGAGGATGTTGGCATTCTAGGGTTCTGGAAGGGGGGCTGAGCAACGCTGAACATATAATTACATAATAATAATAATTATTATTACCAGTAGCACCGCACAAGGCGGTGGCGGAAGTTTCAAAAATAGGAAACCTATAGGAGAAATTGGTTGTTGTGAATCAGGGATGGCAGAGCGAAGCCACTGATGGACTGAAAGGTGCTTGATCTCTCTCACTCTTTCTCTCTCTTTCTCTGGCTATCTACCTACCTACCCATCTATTTTCTATGTATCTATCTATCTTTCTATCTATCTATCTATCTATCTATCTATCTATCTATCTATCTATCTATCTATCTATCTTTCTATCTATCTATCTATCTATCTATCTATCTATCTATCTATCTATCTATCTATCTATCTATCTATCTATCTATCTATCTATCTTCTCTATCTATCTA